GGTCTCGTAATCTTTTTATCAATTTAATTTGTGGAGAACGGCTAATTGTTCCCAACTATAAAAGTCATTAAAGGACACCGATTCAGTGCTTCATGCTTTTTCCTTTCTTATTATCTCCCACACTGAATATGAAGATATTTTTTTGAAAACATTGCATAATACAAAGTCCTTCTGTAGTCGAAAGCGTTTTCCTCAGTTTGCTTTGATAAGCCTGATTATCTCTTAAGTGATTCACTGGACCAAACAAACTGATGAACCAGCCCGAAAACCAGGTGTTACTTAACCGAACACACTGGTACACACTAATGTGATGAATACACACAATTCAGTGGCTGGTGTAATTTAAAATGCGCTTTAAACGAGATGACCCACGAGTCCCCTCTCGGTGTCACGAGCCCGTGATTGACGATGTCCAGATGCCAGGCTAATTTAAATGAATTCATGTCATAGGCTATACCTGACTGCAAAAATCTCGCTGTTTATTAAAACGAGTATCCCCGACTGTGTAAATATATTTAAATGCATTCTCTTTTCTATGTATTAGCCTAATTAAATCAGCAAAAACATTTTAAAATTACAGTAAGGCAGGTGATGTAAATATTTTAATTTTAAATGATTTAAAATTAATTTAACATCATTAAAATAGGCTATATTTTTAGAGTAAAATAATTATAATCAAGTGAAAAAATTTAGTCTATTATTGATTACAAATTATGTACAATTGTAGTTCAGGTCATATGTTTAATTATAGATCATGCAATCGGATTTTTAAAATTCATTTTACAGTAGATTACGTTGACCTAAGTTGGTATGTAAATTACTGATTTGATTATTTTGTATCATATATTTGAAATAAAATACATTCTAGGCCTATTCCTTATAAACAGGAAGACGTCTTAAATATTATATTAAGTCATGTTTTCCCAGAAAAGAAAAATAACTCAATCAAATGTGAAATCAACATAAACACATTTTCAGGAAGAAAAAAAGAAAAGAAAAAGAAAATACCATTGAAACAAATTTGGCCTGACAAAATTCGTAGTTCTTTCTTTATTATATGAAAATGTTTTAACATTTCTTCTAAACAAAATGTAACAAACATTAAAAAGACATTTGAAGACGAAATTAATTGTCCTCCTGTGAAATTTTAACACTTTTTGAAAAATTTCCCAAGTGATGTTTAACAGAGAAGAGACACAATTCACATTATTTCTTACTATATTTTCGATTGGCTGGAATTAAAAATAAAATAAATAAATTCTAAGGTTAATGTTAACCCCCTTTAATATTTTTTTCCCAGTTGGCTATAGAACAAACCACTGTATGATGACTTTAAGTCTTGTCAACCTAATTTGAATGTGGACAAATATCAGCTGGGAGTGGCACCTCATAACATGACTCCACACCTTTTTAAATGACTGCCAAAAGTGACAATGTGATTTTTAAAAAGCACATTTTGCCACCACAAATTAAATGGAGAGTGTCAATTTTCCTTATTCCTATTCTTCCTCTCTTTTTCATTACTTTTATCAGAATAAAAGGCTGAGTGAAGGTGCATTTGGCCCTATGTGTTTCAATTTATCAACCAGCCTTATAGCTATAAGAGCTAAACAGCTTTTAGTCAATGAAAACAGCTGCCTTTTTCTTATTAATGTTTCTTGAAACTCTGCTTTTACATTTTACAAACTGACTGATGAGCAAACATGTATCAAAATGTAAGACTTGTTTTTTGTATTAGGTTTTATAATAAAAGCAATGGCTGTGATCTGACAGCAGATAAAAAGAAATATTGCCTTGCTTGACTCCAAGATATAACAATAAGAATTTTGTTTTGTTTTTAAAATCTGTTGTGTATAATGCTATATTTGTATAAATATAGGGTTTCTAGCACTTTTTAAGCCTATATTGACAGTAAAACTTGATTCATGTATTATGTAAGCTTAAACATTGAATTTTGAAGTTTGTTTCTGATAAGGTGTTCAAATAATAATTTTATATTTAAAATTTAGGCTGAATACAAACTCTAATATTATAAATGCTGCTTATTGGCATCTGTTAATTTTTAAATGTGCGTAAATGTATGTGTACAAAAAATAGATTCTGCAAATAGCTTTAGGACACCTTTTACTGTAAGAATACAAGTCCTGAGAGGACTCTTGAACAATTTAGCAATTAACCAGCCTCAACAAAGAGTTATGGAGACATATAACTCAGGCAGTTGACGTAAATGTGTGACCTTTTTTGACATCATTCAAAATTAGAGACCTTTTGAGATGATGAGACCCCATTTTGTATTCTGAAGCAGCTCCAGAAGACTTGCTGTAGTGGCTCGTTATCCCTTTTCAGGTCTAAAAGGCAGGATATGATCAATCAATAACTCATAAATCCTTCTATAACATATATGAGAAACAGAGTGGTTTCCTGTCTTGCTACTGCTGTCCAACAAGAATCAGATGCCAAGTGATGAGTGTGAAACCTATATTTACAATATTTAGACAGAAGTGTTTGAAGTGCAAATAGGCTTCTGTTTCAAAATTTGTATGTTAAAGGTAAAAAAAAATAGTTCACCACATAGAGAGATTCTGCCATGCTTTACTTACACTCATGTTGTTCCAAACCTGCAAAACATTAAAATAACACTTGAATATTATTTAAATATCTTGCTTAATGTTGTTGAGAAGGCCAAACACCATAGAGTCACACATTGGTGAGTAAATTACTACAAAATATTATTTTTATTTGTTGCGGTGTGTTGGAAAATTCATTATATGCTAAATTGAATGTATTGAAAGAATAAATAGACAACCATTTGTCCTAAACTGTTTATTTAAATTCAGAGTTTAAGCATAAATCTTAAAGGCAGTTTGCCCCAAATTTAAATGTAAAAAATTATTTTTGCCTTATAGATTACTTGATTTAAACCTTTATAAATTACTTTATTCTGTTGAACACAAAAGAAAATATTTTGAAAAAGTTGGAAACCAATAGGTGACACGGTGGCTCAGTGGTTAGCATATATGCTGGATAAGTCGGATAAGTAATAAGTCTTGGTTTTTCTATCTATCTATCTATATGCTGGATAAGTTGGCGGTTCATTCTGCGGTGGCGACCCCTGATGAATAAAGGGACTAAGCCGAAAGAAAATGAATGAATGAAGGGAAACCTGAAACCATTGACTTCCTTTATAAGAAAATCAAATACCATGAATGTCAAAGATTATATGTTTCCTGATATACCTCCAGTATATATACATTTGAAGTCAGAATTATTAGCCTCCCTTTGATTTTTTTCTTTTTTAAATATGTGCCAAAGGATGTTTAACTGATTCAAGATTTTTTTCACAGCATGTCTGATAATATTTTTTCTTCAGGAGAGTCTTTTGTTTTGACTAAAATAAAAGCAGTTTTTAATTTTTTAAACACCATTGTAAGGTCAAAAAAGCTTTTTTTGTTTTTGATAGTCTACAGAACAAACCATCGTTATACAATAACTTGCTTAATTACCATAACCTGCCCAGTTACCTAATTAACCTAGTTAAGCCTTTAAATGTCACTTTAAGCTGTATAGAAGTGTCTTGAAAAATATCTAGTCAAATATTTTGTGCTGTTATCATGGCAAAGATAAAATAAATCAGTGATTAGAGATGAGTTTTTAAAACTATTATGTTTAGAAATGTGTTGAAAAAAATCTGTTTAACAAAAATTGGGGAAAAAATAAACAGTGGGGCTAATAATTCAACTATATATATACATATATATATATATATATATATATATATATATATATATATATATATTGTGTTCTACAGAAGAAAAAAAGGTCAGATCAAGGGGAGGATAAGTAAATGATTTTAAGTTTTGGGCTAACAATCTCTTTAAGTTGAGACACTAAAGGCAAAAAAAAACTTTTTGGCTTTTACAGAATTTTTCTCACTATTATGGAAAAAATTTCCCAAATGCACTTGTGTTTCTTTTATATTGCTCTATCAATTTCATTAATATTCCTTCGGCTTAGTCTCCTTATTTATCAGGGGTCGCCACAGCAGAATGAACCACCAAATATTCCAGTTTATGTTTTACACAGCGGATGCCCTTTCAGCTGCAACCCAGTACTGGGAAACACCGATACTTACTCATAAACTACAACCAATTTTGTTAATTTAATTCATCAATAGTCTTTGGACTGTGGGGGAAACCAGAACTCCCGGAGGAAACCTACGCCAACACAGGGAGAACACGCAAACTTCACACAGAAACGCCAACTGACCCAGCCGGAGCTCAAACCCAGCGACCTTATTGCTTTGAGGCGACAGTGCTAACCACTGAGCCACTGTTGCCCCCTTTATCAATTTGTATATCTATCATTCAGTAGTCTGTTTTCTCAAGACCAGTTTTTTTTCTCTGCCATAAATCTCTACTTTAGCAGCAAAAAAATTAGTTAATATCTCAAGAATATATTTTAAAGAATAAAACTCAAGAATAATTATATATTACTTTATACATAATATGCCTGATTATATACAATTAATTGCACAAGATGTTAGATTGTTTTGTAATAGAATTTAGTGCTAATTAGTGGATATTTAATAAACGCTTCAAGTATATATTTAAACATCAAAAAACATGAATACACAAATGTTCTTTATGTAATCAAAACTGATGGGTAATAACTTTTAGTTCATTAAAATTAAACATGAACATCTAAACTAAACATCATCTGAAGAGTCTTGTCTTAAAAAGCCCACATTTTTTCTTTCCCCTGAGACATAAAACACCAGTGAATATAATTATCTACAGAATATGTGGACTTCCCGAAGAAACCTTACAGTTACTGGTTTCCTTTTAGTGCTGTGATTCATCCAGGAAGTAATTGTGACATTTTCTACGTTATTGACCCCGTTTTGAACCAATCGTTTGCTAGCAGCTGTTGTCCTGTCCAATAACATTTCACGGTGTTGCTTAGTGGGCGGGCTGTTCTCTGTGTTGTGTTTGTTTGGTAGAGCAAGAGCTACGATTTCGGTTTTGTTTTCTTTGATTTCCAGTCGCTGAACTATACCGTTCGGCTGATCATTCTGTAAAGTCAGGTAAACGATTTGCATTACATTGAATATTACGACTTTTATGTAAAAAGAAAAACCCGTAAAAGCTCAGTGAAATCACTAGAATGTTCTTGAAGCATCCAGAGCGACATATGACTGAAGTTTGTGTCAAGCTGAACTAACATGTCAGAACAGAGCACAGCATCGATGCTTCCAAACTACCGTCTTATTTATTGCTAAATGAAAATTGCCTCAAATAAACGTAAATGTGTACATGACTGGAAATTGGATTTTTCGTGTCGAAAGACAATTGACCTGCTGCTGAGTCATTAGCTAGCTAGTCAAAGAAGCTTTAGCCGAGAGGCTAACAGAACTTCAGTGGATCTGACTGAAAAAAAGCATTTCACTCTTGCCTATTTAACAGCGTGAATGCACATTTATACAAAAAACCTCAAAGAACACGTTTATAAATGATGACGGTTGTCAGCTTTTGCTCGTGTTTTATGGTAGCAAGTCGAGGATCCTTCTCTGAGTCATAACAAATGCATTTGTCTTTTATGAATCAACGCTTTTCTACAACATGCGTCGAACGAAGGTGTATGAATGTGTAATATAATTGTATGAATTACATGTATATTTCTTAACCAGTCAATGTGTACATACAATCAATAATTCTCATTTCAGCAGTATTGTTTTGACATTTCTAACTGGAAATATTACGTTACTCTCATTAACTTATTAAAGTTATTACATAATTTACTGTTGTTTGGACCTGCTAAATTGTCAGATTAGTAAGTGTTAGTATACATTCACTCCCATTTAAACCTTCTACACCTTTATTTGTCAACCACAAGCCTACAGTTAAATATCTTAGGCATAACAGCCTGCCTTGTGTCATTATACTATAGAAGCTCTATACAGATATTTTCAGCATCGTGTGTAGTAGGTTAAATGTAACTTCTGTTATGAGAGAGTTAAGAAATGTGATATAGAGGTAAAGTTGGTTTTATATTCGCACATTCGTTCATTAAGCAGTCTCTTTATTGTTTGCCATGTTACTTTGAATATTCGGTCGGACTTAGCATGCAAGTATGACTTCTAAACAACATTAACACTATTAAATTCACTGTGAACAATGTTGTACTTTGATAGTCATTTGCTGTTTATATGATTTCCCCATTTGGAATTTACAAAGAATACTTTTCTGAAATGATATTATTAAGGAAAATGTCTGAATATCCGAATATAAAACCAACGTTACCTCTATAAATGTGATTAGTTGCTATGCTTAACAGCAGCCTGTTCTTTGTGTTTTCTCTGTCCTGCTGGCACAAACAGCACTTTGATCCTCTGCAAACAGGGGTACTTTCATTGATCTCTGCTCGATGGGAAAAGTGTAACCATGTTCAGTTTTGAGGGAGATTTCAGAAGAACACCCAAGGTGTCCCTTGGTGGTGCTAGCAGAAAAGTAAGTTTTCAATGTGATGGGATAGCTAAATTATGCTGAAATTTGCCTCACACAAATGTAATGTTTTGCATGTCACTATTTTTACTCATGAAAATAATTGTTATAATACCTTATATTCCAAGTAATTTTTTAAAATACAACTTTAAAGTGAATTCTTTATGAAATGCCAATGTGACAACAAGTACTTTTTTTGTAAAAACATACACAGACAGAGGAAAATAAATACTTATGGTTCACGAGTTCTTATGAAGCAAATTAATAATTTTCTCTGTCCAAATAGGTGAACATTGTTGCTTTATTTACTTTACACTGTCATGAACATGCTCAGGATTAAATGTAATAATATTTCAAAAATATTTGATATATTGTGTTTCTTGCAGACAGATCTTTTTAGTTCATAAAATCTTACTGTTTCTCCTTGAGTCAAAACTATTAGTTTTGTTTTGCCTTTTTTTGTATGTAAAAGTGCCAATATCTGCTGACTTGTATTTGATGAATAGCCATAAATCACGGTCACAGCTACAAATTTATATTTTATTTTTTGGCTGAACTCTATTTAGTTTTGAATACTGATATATATCTCACATGCACTTTGGACAGGAGGAAAAAGCATCACTTCTTCATCGAACACAAGAAGAGCGAAGAAAAAGAGAGGTGAGAATCAGATTTTCTTTTTTTAAACAGAAGTCTAAAATATGTCTAATAATTTTAAAGATGTTTTAATAGCAAAATAAGACCAAAGTTAGTTCTGAGAAAAGGTTTTAGTTTAGTTTTTTTATGTAATGCAGTGACATTTATGCATTCTGGACTGTACCAATATGTACACTGTATATAAATAGTCACAGAAAGATTTGAGGATCTGAACAAATAGATTTACTACATGTTTTTTTAAATGAAAACTTCACATTTGTGTGTTTTTTTTTTGTTCCTGCAGGATGAGAGGAAAAGATTGAAAAATGCAATCATCATTCAGTCTTACATAAGGGGATACCAAGACAGGAAACAGCAAGTATGTGGAAGTACTCTAAACTCAAGTTCCGAGAAGCTTCTTTCAAAAAAAAAAAAAAACCGTCTGTATACATGTAGAGGTCAGACAGATAGTTACATTTCTACGTTTTCTGTTCTTTTATTTAAATAGTATGCCATTCAGAGGGGCTCCTTTGACCACTGTGTGTGTCAGTGCCAGTCAGGCTCTGGCCCTCAGCTTACAGACAGTGCCATACTCAGCCAACTGGTTCGCCAGCTTCTCTTTTTTTACAGACTAAGTGAAGACAGACCAAGAATGGTAAGGACCACAAAAATGTTCTGTGCTGCCCCGTTAATTATCGCTCAATTCAGTTTTTTGTTTACACTTTCCTATTAGTGTTGATTAATGAAAATTATGAATCTGAAAATTTCATTGTATAACTGTGCATTTGAAGATGTTTATTTCTTAACCTTTGTAGATCTGGATGTGTCAGTGTTTAGTAAAGCATCATGCTCAGTTTGTCAAGCTGCTGACGGGGCCAGAAAGACAGATCTGTCTGTTTCAGATCAAGAGGTTACTGGGACACTGTTGCAGGTACAAAATTAGATGTTTACTTCGCATTTCCAAAATGTATCCACCTGTCATAACTCTTTATGGCTGGGACACACCAAACTATTGGGCCATTGGTCATGAGCACGAACGAATTCCTCCGTGGTGATTGACAATTAGTGTAGTAATGCTACAGATATGTCCTTTCATGCAGGTGCAGAACGCTCTCTCTTGTTTCAGTGGACTGCCATCCATTTGGTGTTTTACTGTGTTCATGCGCAGCTTTTTGTCCACATGAGACCAGATGCGAGCTGATAGCACAGTTGGTGTCTCGGCCCTTAGATACACTTGTTGCTTTGTTGTCAAGCCTTTTCTTTGTCTCTTTAAGGTTATTGCAATCATGTGAAGATGACAGTCTGAATGTGGCGGTTCCAATGCGGATGCTGGAGGTGTTTTCATCTGAGAGAACCTACTTGCCCTTTCTACAGGATGAAAATTGTGTCACTTCACTTATTGAGCAAATTTTGCACTATATGGTACAGAAAGGTAAAGAGTTTTCCCGCATGTTCTATCTGTCCACAAAAATATGAAAACGTGCCAATATTGGCCATCTGCCACATAGTCCAAAGCTGCTTCTTGAAAACATGGAAGAAAGTTGACTCTGCATATTCAAACATGTATGCAAAAAAAGACCTTTCAGAGGTGGAAATTTGTTTTAATTAAAATAACTAAATATTACAGGTTTAGAACTAAAGTAGTATAGTTATAGTTGGTTATACTTTAGTTATAAACCTGTACTTTTATCCAAATTTAAATTTAAACACATTTTTACCTGTGAAGGTTATTTTTGTTATTTAAAACTCCATATTTTAATAACCAAATCTAATATAGTGGTATAAGTTCATGAGATTGATGAGATGTTGAATATTCTTAGATGCTTATTTGGGGACATGCATCCCCTTCTTTTGAATGTGGCATGCAATAAAAAAAACAATAAAAAAAAAGCATTTTATTTATACTGCACTTTTTTTTACACCCAAAGCACTAACATATCTATAGCAGCAAATAACATGTCTACTTAAACATAACTATATATCTTCCTTAGTAAGTTAGAGACTGTACAGAATGTATATATGTTTTAATCTAGCAATTTTTTGAGTATATTACCTGTCTAAATCAATTTTTTACATTTCTCTTTTTCAGGATTCTACAGGTCTCTGTATGTTTTAGTGAATCACAAGTTGCCGTCAAGTCTAGAATACAGTGATACCCCTTCCATACCATTGGCACAAACACTGCTGGAACACACACTCAAGCCTCTGCACTTTACATACAGCTCCTGTCCTCCAGATACCAGGTATTCACACAAATGTCCAAATATAAAATACTACTTACTTATACTAGCTTTTTAAACTGTACATGATGCATCCAGATTACGTTGCTATAGGAATCTCTTTGTTTTGGCGTGCGTGATGGAAGGGTCCCGCCACACAGAAGGGTAGCTTTATTCTTCCAGTGGACCAAGGGACAGTAATTCCCTCACTCCTGTGTTTACAGAGAGTAGTAAAATCCAGACAGGCTCATTGACTCAACATGTAATGTTTACACAACATTTACCCTCCGTTCTAACACTCAGAGTGATGAACAGTGCTGTTTTCTTTTCTTTTCTCTCTGAACAACGACAAGAGCGCGAGAGAAGAAGCTTGTGCATATAGTATTGTGTTTGTTCTCTCACTCTCTCTCTCTCTCTCTCTCTCGTACACACCTACACACACACACACACACACACACACACACACACCGAGAGCCAGCCAGATGTTTTTACCAATTAAGTTGTTTTTCTTTAAAGAAATAAAAAACTAGCAAGGTTATTTGTTAAGATGTTACAGAAGATTTTGAATAATTGAATACTAATTCAAAACCTTACTATCTATCAAAGAATAAAAGAAATGTCTCGAAGTTTGCCATCACTTTAATAAATTACTATTCAGGAGATATTAAAAAAAAACAAAAAACATTTTACATTTTTAAAAAAATGTAACATTTCTCAGTGATGGGTTGCAGCTAGAAGGGCATCTACTGCGTAAAACATATGCTGGATAAGTTGGCGGTTCATTCTGCTGTGGCAACCCCTGATTAATTAAGGGACTAAGCTGAAAAGAAAATGAATGAGTGAAAGAAATGTAACATTTTAATGTATTTTTGTTCTAATAAATGCTGCCTTAGTTATTGAAATTGGTCTTGGTTATATTATTTTAACAGCATTGTGTCTTTAGCGCAAAATTGGTCATTCTGAATTGCTTGTGTTTTATACCATCACTTTGGATAAAATGTATTCTTAATGGCAGCAAGTTCTTCTAGTACAAATCTGTCCTATTGAGGAGGTTTGTTGGCTTCTTAAATATTACATATATCTAAAGGTGTGTCTGAAAGCATATTAAAGCATATTAAACAAATAAGCACAGTACAGTGTTAATGTTCAAACTATTCATAATGTTTAATGTGGCTGATAATAATAAATATTTTTAATAATAGTAGTTAATCTACCACGTTTTTAAACTATGCAGAGCTAAAGTTGCTTTACTGGGCCTACTACACTACTGTATTTCAATACTGGTCATTATGGTGGTACTTGAAGGAATACTTTTTTCTGAGGTGGTACTTGATGAAAAGAGTTTGAGAACCACTGCATTAGAGTAATTGTATTGTATTATATTTTTAAGTTTGAATATGAAAGCTAGTGCTCGATACATTAAGTACTTACCTCAGATGTATCACTGTACAGTTTCTTAATCTCTACTCTCTTTTCATTCACAGGCAGTTTGTTTTTTCAGCCTTCACCGAGGAGTTCATCTCCGCGCCTTTCACTGAACAAATCTATCATTTCTTCGTGCCAGCTTTGTCGGACCCAAAACTAGCTTTCCCATTTCAAAACTTCCTTTGGTCCCTCCAGGCCACCATAGCCTCTTCTGTGCAGGCCAGAACTCAGGCTCCCTGGCTCTTTTACTTTGTGCTCTCAGTCGGAGAATCAGGACTGAGTAAGTAGTGTATGGAAGGGAGAATTAAAACAGCATTGAATAACTAATATAATCACTTACCCCCCATTTAAAGTCAGGTTTGAGGATTGTGTGTTGTGCTTCCGTAGGTTCACTCTCAGAGGAAGGGTTGCTGTTATACCTGAATGCTCTACAGACGCTTTTGCCTTTGTTGCCAGTGACAGAGTGTAACAGTAGAGCTGACATCAACAGTGATTCAGAAGATGAGGAGGAAATGACCGTACAGCATCCTGCAGCACCGGTACATGCGCGTTCTCGCTTATTCACATCTTTACAGCATAGTTTACATTTTGATCAATTGTGTCATTTTTTTAAAGGATGGCAGTTGGATATCTGTGCATTACATAACGGAGGAATGTGTACAGAAGTTGGACACCAAGCAGCAGACTAATGCTCTGTTAACATTAGTGTGGAGAGACTCAGCAAGTGAAGATGTCTTCACCATGATGGCCTCCATCTGTCACACGTTGATGGTGCAACACCGTATGATGGTGCCACGAGTCAGGTCAGATACACAATACACTAAAACCTAGTAAATTAACCTCACAGTCATCATCACATCGAGGGCGATGAATCAAAGGCAATTTTTATTTTGTTGGTAAAGCCAGTTCTAGTAAGCCTCCAGCATGAGGTGTCAGATGGAGGAGATTTTACTACACGGAGTTGTAGTTCACTGACAAGCTACGCAAAAACAATTTAATTGGATATGACATTGCAATAATAGTTCTGTCATAGTTACAGCTGTTATTGTTAGGGTTGTCAAAAGTATTGACTTCAGCACCAATGAATAATGATTTTTTTTTCTTTTTACGCCCTGTTGAGGAAGTTCTTAAACACTGTGTTAAAATGCTCAACAGATGGAAATTACCTGGATTTCTTTTCCATTGGTGGAGAGTGTGGGCTATTGATCACTCAACCGTGCTTTCCTGACAAGATGTGCATGAAAATTAGGGATGCACTGAAATTTCAGGCAATGAAAATTAGCAGCAGAAAAAGATATAGAGAAAAATATCAAAAATAAAGTCTTAGTCAAAATAAAGGCTTAGATGTGCTGTGCAAATTTCACACTGGATGTGGAATGAAATGTTCTATGAAACCAGCCAAAGTCGCAGTTTGAAATAGCAAAATTTTCCGCTCTGTGAATATTCTGCTCATGTACCAGTTAATATTTCTATGCATGTAACACACATGCTTACCTGGAAAAGCAAAGTCTGCTCAAGTAAATTGCTGTCAGGACATTTTTATATAGTGTACTTGTTCCTCCTGCATGCAATAGTGTGTTGTCATGGCAAAGCTGGTAAAGTGACTAATGTCAATAAAATGTGACTATTGTCTTAAATAAAAAAATAAAATCAGTATTGTTTAAGTTAAATTCTAAAAAATCTGACAACATTAATTTTTTTAATTAAATAATAAATAATTATTACCAAGTAGTTACAGTTTTTGGCCAAGTACATCTAGAATTTTTTTAGGGGGTTTTGATGCTGATTTTCCATTGCATTACATCTTTAATAACTTGCATCTTTCTAAACTGTGTTTGCAATTTCATTTTAGTTAATCACTAACCCTAACCTATGGGCTTAACATTTAGACTTTGATTCAGTGCACAGAGAAAACCTTTTTGTTGCAAGATAGGTTTTTTTCTTAAGTCTTGAAAGAGCTGTAGATGTCCATTAAATGGAAATACATTAAACTGTCCTTAAAGGGCCATGAAACCCCCTCGTTTCAGCAGGGTGTTTTCACACCTCTACTTTGGAAAAAGTCAGAAAAGTGGGCGTGTCCAGCTCTGTTTAGGGGGGAGTGTCGGAGGAACTAAAGTGGGATGGTGTGGGAGTGTCTATTTAGGCACGCGTGAGTTTCAGAGTCAAAATCAACACACAGGAGAAAGTGATGGTGTTTAACCTACATGGACATCTGTAGTCGAATTATTTGCCAAATTATTAAATGTTGGACTTTAACTGCTGTTTGGCTCTTTCATTCAGGGAATTCATTCATGCCCCTCGTGACAAACGAGATATTTGATTCGAGGAACTGCTCTAAGCGTGTATTTTTCATGCAATGTTTGATACCGCACGGCGAATGAGAGAAAAAAAACCTCCGCATTTCCCGGAAACTTAGATGCACACGGCAGGTAGCGTCAGAAAGCTGCGTGTGTTATTCCGGTCACTAAATGCGGTAAAAACCCTACACTGGATTAAAGTTTGGTTGTGGTATTAACATGTTTACACTCGGTGAAATAGTTAACTTAGTTCAATACGAACAAACTGAATAAACAGAGCACTGGTTGCTCACTTACCAAATCTGTAGAGACAGGACAATCAACAGCAGCTAGAGCCGTGTCTTTATTAAGAGAAGACTATAAGCGAATCCGGATCTCAGCGTTTGCAGATGAGAACAGCTCTCAGGTAAACAATAATCCTCCTTAGACACGTAAGTTATTGTTGTCGAGCGTCGCGTAGACTGTTAATCCACACGTGACTCTGAGCTCTCACAGAGAGAAAATGAAAACAAAACTTAACGGCAGCAAACTATAAAAGCAACACTTCACGCTCGTTTTGCCAACACAACGTGGCGTCTCTGTCGTGTAAATACGGTGACACTAATGAATATTAATAAAGTTGCACAATAGAGCGCGCTGATTGGTTTGAACCAAGCTTTACTCATGCATTTATGCAACACACTGTAAGACGTAGTAAGACTCACTCTGGCACAGATGCCCAGTCTGCACGCTGGAATACAACGCTATTATGTCATGACCCTTGACACAGCTTTAAAAATTCGTTTCAAACCGGAAGTACGAATTTGCTTGAAATAACGCAAAAACAACCAATTTACACTTATTTTAGTGAAATATAGGTGTCCTAATTGTGTTTTTAGCAGTGTGGGACACATATACGACTGTCAACAGCTCAAAACATGCGTTTTGGTGTTTCGTGACCCTTAAAGCATTTGAGCAGGCTGTGTTACTTTTTTGATCCTTCCTACTGCTAGTTTTTAAAACCTAAAAGCAGTAACAATTCTGAAGACACAGACAATTAAATCTAATCTTTTTTTCTTTTCTTTTAATTGCCAGGGCAGTTTTAGTTGCTGTCAGTCATCAATTAGTGTAATGTGCTCTCCTCTACAATCCTTTCTCCTCTACGTACTTCTGATCCTGCAATGTTGACAAAATGAGACCAGGATTTCAGTTAGAGTAAACTGAGTGATGGAGAGAAGAGATGGATGTAAGAAGACAGGGAAGAGAAGTTTGTCTGGTTTAATGAGGAAAGGATATTGATAAAGGCAATGTGCATTAAAAGGCAGTGCCAATCAGCTAAATCAGAACTATTTTGAAGATTCCACACATGTAGTGCCTTTAATCCTGCAGAATAAGTGCTCACAGCGAGCTTATGATGTGTTCTCAGTATTAGAGATCTACGATTTCTGCATTATGTATTGAAATCAATTCTTAAAAAAATCCCCTAAGGCCATCTAGTTCTAGGTCATTTTTTTCTTCCAATTTTTTTTTATTTTTAGTAAAAAAAACAACAACTTTTATTTAAAAGATTTACAAATTGATTTATCACAGTATGTCCAAATCCCTGTTAGCTAATGCAGTTCTTAAAAGCTGACATTTTGCATTTTCTAATAAAAAATGAAAGTTTTAATTGGTGTTTAGTTCAACTCCATTACTATAGCAATTTCAAAACTTTTAAAATAAATGACAAAGCATAAATAAAACATAAATATAACAATCTCAGAGCAAGTATTAGTGTATGCCTATGTATAAATTACATAATCCAGTTTTCTGAAAATAAAATCATGCATTAATATATTCCTATTTATTGCAGAAAGAATCTAGTTTAGTTAAGACAGAGACATCTTAATTGGAGAAAAGCTGCTTTCACAACCATAATCATTTTACAGTTAAAGGAAAGTTCCAAAATGACGAAAAAAAATCCTAATTCTTCATATGAGAGTAAAACTCATAGTATTGTTCATAGTATGATTATTATGGAAATGTAAAGTATAACATAAAATAATTAAGTTGGCTCGCCTGTATTCTTGATTTTCTTATGTATTTAAAATATTTTACATGCTCTTGCATACATGACATAATCTGCTTTATTTTCAGTATTTTTTTCTTGCGTTTCATTTACTCAGCCTTTGTTTTTCTTTCTTTTTTTTAGTGGTGATTATATATTTTACTGCTCCGTCCAAAAAGAGAAGGCTTTTATCATAAATCCTGCCTTCACTACTTTATCATTATTGGATATCTGTACAAAATAATTAGCTGGCCTAGGAAGATTAATTCCTGCAGGAGTGGATGGGATAGTTTTACAAGAGGTATAACAGCTGGGCTTGATTTACAACCTTTAAAGAAGCGCCCAGTGTGCATGCAAACTTGGTAGCCTTTTTAAACATTATCATATTTTAAAAGTGAAGAGTACGGCTGTATTTCACTCTAAACAAGGTCATTATATTGTCAAACCTGTATTAGTGTAAATAGCAGGCATGGTTCTTATGCATTGAAAGGTCTCAGTGTTAAGCAGACTGGACTTGCTTTAGCTATTTAAAGACTATAAAGATAATTAAAACAAACAAATAAATCATGTTATTCATCTTAATAATTTTTTTTATTATGCTATTTATGGAAATGTGGTGGATAGTATGCCCATCTAATTAGTTTTATTAATTGATCAAATTTGTTAAAAAAAAAAAAATCATTCAAACACTTGCTTTCTGTAACCACTAATTAGAACAACTTAATTAATTTTTCCCCATCAATTTTTCCCATGTCTCTGGGAAAACAGCACAATCTGTAGCCTCTTTTTTGCCTTTGTATTTTCTTTTTTGGCCTGTGATTATTTTATTTATGATTTATTTTTTTAAGATTTGGTCTGTGTTTTTTTCAGTGTCTATGTATTTAAATATACATTTCGGGCTAGTAACTGGTCACATGGTTGTACATTTTCAGTGTTTGTTACACCCGTTTCTTAATGAGAGTGACCCTTGACATGATATCACTTCCATGTTGTTGTTTTTTTTTTGTTGGTCTGCATCTTTTCTAAGTCACTTGTTGAATAATTAAATATAAATGTAAATTTTGTTGCAGCATTGCAACTTGACGATGAAAGGATGGTTAACCAAAAAAGGGAAAATTTCCTTTACATTTCCTCACACAAAATTTGATGTATTTATTTCTTTTGTCATTGTGAGGAATGTTGGAAACCAGCAGTCATTGTCATCTATCTTAGGAACAAAAATACTACATAAGTCAAAGACTGCTGCTTTCCAACATTCTTCAGTATATCTTCCTTTGTGTTCAAAAGAGGAAAGAAACTCAAGAGGTTTGGAACAAGTGGATGATGAGTAAACAATGGCATCATTTTCATTTTTGGCTGAAAATCAGTTTACTGCAACATATTGGGAGGAAATGTCTATACTACTGTAAACAGAAGTGCTTTGTATGCTTGTTGTACACCAGCTTTAATCTTATTTTCACTCCTAATTACTTTCAATTATGCTTTATTTATTCTTTCACCCCTTGACACAAAACAACCATGCTGTAATCGCCGGAGCGATTTCTCGCACCATGGTGTGACGACTGTTAGCTTTAATGATTTGGGTGACCTAAGCACAGTGCCTAATCTGTGATAGCAGCACTGCCTCTACGGTCAGGCAATTGTGGTCGTGCTACATTGTCTCCACGGTCGTCATTAACTTAAATGGAGCCCCCACAGGAACCACTGGTCTGTTTACGACCCTGAAGCGTCTGCTAGTTTACTAATGGAAGGTGCCTCACCTAAATAAAGCTTAATGGCTCATTTAATCTTTCCTGTGGTCACATACAAAGACTAGAAATTCCAGCTCACTGGCTTGTTTATATTTTTCCCACTTTATGAGTCCTCCTAGAGATCTGGGAAGTTTAGGTTTTATGGGCAGGAGATGTGGTTATCTGAACATCCAGAGATGAGCATTGTTCTCGTGACACCTTAGAAAGTGTTGCTGAATAGTTTAGTAACTGACACTGATATCAATATCGATACATATAGATACTTTGGCCAACCCCTCAAAAACAACAACAACAGGAAAAACAATTGAATGATCTAACTTTCATTTGATTTAATATTAGCAAGTGTTTACTGTTTGCTTAAAAAAAAGAAAGTATAAAATACAAATAAATAAATATAAATCTAAATAAAATATAAATATAAATCAAAAATAGGGTACATCTCTCTATAACAAAAAATTAATTGTTACCGCTGAGCTTTTTAAATAAGCATCGGTTCACAATAGAATTTTGTTTTGTTAACAGAACAGAGAAACAAAAATCAAAACATGTTCCCCTCTTCTCACTTGTTCTTATTTTCTAGAAAGATCTTCAGCCATTTCAGGTTCTTTGAAATGCAAACCAGAATTTACTAATAAGGTGTTGGGAGACGAGACCTGTCGTGTTCTTTAGCACAGTAGTGTGCAGGATAATATTTGTTAATCTTTGTTTATCATTAGCACCACAGTTTCCTTAACCGTTATATATTTAGCACATTTAGATTTACAGTAGTGTAAACCTGTATTATTGTAAATCAAATCAAATTGTATATACATTTTATTTGTGTGTGCTTTTTTTTCCTACAAAATCAGAGCTCTATTCATTTATACGTGATCGAATTTCAAATCATAAAAAGTAAAGCACCCTAATTAAAATGTACAGTATCTCCACCAAACCTATTTAAGGCATCACTGACGAGTGTAACATTTCTTGCAGATTGGTATTGTGATGTTTGTGAGCCTGGCTTTAAGTAACACAAGTGAAATAATGCCTTGATTCTCTTCACATGTCTAGTTTGTCTAGAAACTGTGGGTGGCCACCAGGCCTACCTATATTTGCGACCATGTCTCTAGTTTTGTCACCATGAAAGCCAGAGTCTATTGGAGTGGGAAATTATTCGGCATGCAGTCAATGTGCTGTTGAAGTAGCGTCTTCCCCCAATTATTAAACGCTCGGAACTACTGCTGTCTCACTTTTTTCCACCCCTGCCAAATTATAACCCCTTCAATAAAGTTGCTATCTTCATTAAAGATTGCCTAATCTATATCCCCACATCTTTACCCAAACCTACCTGAACGAAAGGGGTAATAATCTCAGAATTTGGCACAAATCAGATAGATGCTAATATAGTAATGAATTGTAAAGTTTTTTTTTAAAATCAGAGTATGTGTTCAGTAAGAGTATATGTGTTTGTGTGTGTGGGTACATAATGATTCTGCTTTGATGCTGAAAGTAAAAAAAATATTGTAAAAAAGGCTCTATCATACAAATGTATACCCTATAGCTATTACAAATGCATTTGTAAGTTTTACTTTATTAATCTCTAAGTTTAAAAAAGAAATGTTAGACAAAAGTGCTTTCCTGTTAAATTTTTTTTAACCTCAAGTAAAGATGCCAATTCTCGTTTTTTTTTTGTTGTTGTCTTTTTCAGGCTTCTCTACAGTTTAGCCTTCAATGCACGCTTTCTTCGGCACCTCTGGTATTTAATCACATCTATGAAGACTAAAATGATCACAGGGTAAGTTTTCTACATGTTTATTTCTAATATCCTGCGTACAATATTAATACCTCTGTTTTTTTCTCTCCTCTCTCTGTGGGTGCAGCTCTATGGTTCCCTTGTTGCAGGTGATGTCTCGAGGTTCTCCAATGACTCTGGAGGACTCTAACAGGATCATCCCTCTCTTCTATCTCTTCAGTTCACTCTTCAGTCATTCACTCATCTCTGTGCACGACAGCGAGTTCTTTGGCAGCTCAGCTGATGGTATGAACATCTATTCTACATCAATGGAGCAATAATTGAATAGTAGAATATAGAAGTAAATAGTAATAGACGTATCTAATAAAATACCTTTAAAACACAACCAGATTAATTAGTTTTTTTTTCTGTTTTATTTTGGTCTTGATAAACTTCCAGTAAACAGTTAATGTGACTGTTTTCAATTTCATAAGGTTCCTTTTACAGCATCCATGTTGTAATGCAATTTAAAAATAGTCAGTTAAATAGACTTAAGCATTCTTTTAGTTGTTTAAGTGTAAAACAAGATGAAAAACCATTTATGCCCACGTGCCGTCAGGATCTGCAATACATTTTTTTTTTCATATTTTAAAGACATGGTATGGAAAAATGTCATTTAAACGCTGTGAAAGATCATTTTAAAGAAAACAGACCTTAAACGCGTCAATTATTATAATTTTTTTTACAGCGTAGTTGACCGGAATCACATTTACTTGGTTACTGAAAATTAAAAATCCTTCTGCATATACCCTATTGTCTTAAAGAATGCTGGAAACAAGTAGCCATTGATTGCTATGGATATCAGTGGATACTGGTTTCCAACATTCTTCATAATATCACCTTAAGATATTTTTTTAACAGAAAAAAGAAACTTATAAAAATTTGGAACCACTTAAGGGTGAGAAAAGTCCGTTTATAACTGCATGGTATGGCTCAGAATGGCTTGCTTCCATTTGATTTCCAATGCAGTTTAGCAGAAATGCTGGTGACACAAAAATCCAGTTATGCCACCCATTGGTTATCAGCAATGTGTATTATTCATCCAGTTTTTGGTTATGAGACAGTTCAATTAAAACATCATCTGAGGTTGTACTAAAATAGTACCAGTTATCGAATGCAAAGCCCCCAAAAGTAAGCCATACTAAGCACTTTGCACCATAAATGCTAACTAAATGGCCATTTTTGGGTGAACCTTCTGTTTAATTTCATTGCACTTTTAAAAAGTCTCGTTTCTCAATGTTAGCTTTGTTTAAAAATGCAGTGTTGCAAATAAAATGTTTTTCTTTGCTCGTGCAGGTCAGAGCCAGTCGTCCATGATGCCCTTCTCTCTGGGAGAGTTGGTGACGTTGTCTCGGTGTTTGCGGGATGCATGTTTGGGAATCATAAAGCTGGCCTATCCTGAGACTAAGACAGAGCACAAAGAGGAGTATGTAGCGGCATTTCGTAGTGTCGGAGTAAAAACCAACAGCCAAGTACAGCAGCGCATTCAAGCTCAGCAGAAACGATGGGTGCAGCTCTTTAAGGTGATTTCCTTCATGTTTTCTATTTCTTAGCTGATATTCATTCAGAAGTAGTGGAAAAGATTAACCCTTAAAGACCTAGAGGTATTTTGAGGGCACCTAATGGGCCTATATTATTATTATTTTTTTTAAAGCAGTTTTATTTTTATTTTAGCAGTCAGACTCAAGTGTCATATATTATTTTAAACAGGAGAACCTGAAGTTTCAATCTGTATCATTTAAAGGTCCAGTCTAAAACTTTTTTTGGTCCAAAAACATATGAACAGACAGAAAATATTCCAGAATTTTCCAGAAACGATTTTTAAAAAAAGTGGCATTTTCTAGTTATTATAAACAAAACCTTATGAAGTTTGTTTTTCTTTCTTTAGAAATACATATTATGATGTTTTATACTTCCACAATAAATTTTGTCTACATCCACCATTCCCTGAGCAAGTTATAGCAATTTATTTCAATGTTATTTCAAGGCGTTTTTCAATGGGGGGAAAAAATGCATTTATTTACTGACAATGTATTTGCCCAAAAGTTCTGGGAATGAACTAAACAGAAAAAAAATGTTACAAAATAACAGAACACTGAAGCAAATTTGACTTTTTTCCAAATAATATATTTTTAGTTACCATAAACAACACCACTTATAATAAACAAATATAAAATAAGAAAATAATAAATAATGCGTCAAAGTCCAAATAAACATGGTGCAAATCCTCAGTAAAAAATAGATATAAATATTTATTATACTATAAATAGTTACATAACTAAACTAGATTCAATATGGACCATCCTTAGGTTTTATGTGCCAGCATGGATATGGTTGTCTGCGGATATGTATATGGTTCGCGTGCAATGCAGACAAACAGCCCAACCTTTATTTGCGTCCTTTGAAATCAACAAGAGCAGCACTTCGTCTTTGCTGTGTCACTGTTTTGTCATGTTTTTGTGCTGTTGTGCATGCAAAAGTACTTAGTATGAGAATTATTTCATGCAAAACTTTTTTTTTAGCGTTTTATTTAGCCGCGCGTAAATGTGCAGCCTATCTCTCATTCCGTGTTGTTCAAATAGCTGATTGTTGGTTCACAAAGCGAAACCTAAGCTTATTGGTTGAGATAGAGCGAGTTTGAACCAATCTGGGCATGGAGGAGGGACAATGCATCCATATATCATGTCTGGTTTGTCCGGAGAGACAAGTGACGAGCGTTCCTTTGTCAAATCAGCGTTGTCAAAATTTGATGACGTAACCACACTGATTCCGGAGCCTCTGAAAGTCCGTGAATGTAATGTGATACAGCGATGGAAAGCTGAGAGTCTCTTCTTTATGCCAATCTTTGAATTGTATGGATCGGATCAGCGGATCAAAAGTTATTAAACATTTAAGAGCAATACTTATTTTTAGCCGCGGGCGGCTGTCTCGGTCTTTAAGGGTTAAATGCTACCGAGAAGATTGTCACTAGTATTCATTCCATATTCAATACTGCTGATTAATTCTTCAGTGGGTGGTGCGCGTTTCTATTAACCATACGCTGTATTAGCAGCGCTAACAACGTCTTTGATGACCTAATTAGATGGGTTGACAATTAATGAGGCGAATGGTCTTAGCATCTGTTAGGGCCATCAGTGCTGATCAGCTAGGCAGGAAGACCACTCACTCGGGAAATTAATAGGTTGTTTGCCAAGACTAAGTGAGCTGAATAACGGCATTAGGATATTAGTCAGCTGTCTTCATTCTCTGTCTTCCTTCATCGTCCTCTTCCTCGTCTTCCTCCATCATGTTCTCGCGTCCATCCCCCTGTCAGGTTTCAGCTTTTCCCCTCATTATTTATGTGTGTGGTTTAACCAGATCCCTTGCTGCCTGTTGACAGCTCATTGACCTACTTTTGTCCTTTCATTTAACTAAACATCTTGTCAGTAGATTTGTGGAGCTTTCCAACATTGGCAGTTACAAATGAAAGCGCATAATTTATACAATTTAGATGCATTATAAAATTAATGTGAGGCAATTTCTATGATTATTCAGTGTACGTCTTTAGAGACCTGTTTTATTAATTTAACACTTTAATCCAAACTATAAAGTCATGGAATTAAGATAAGTTCAAATGATAAAACAGTTGTCGTTATAATCTGTAAAACTATAGATTTTTCCTCTATTACATCTAATATTTAGTGATGCATTTTCAGAACTTGTTCAGTTGTAGTGATATATTAATTATGCAAAGTCTCCATCCCTCTGTGCACTTTTGGCTTGCATTAGCTTTACCACCAATCAGCCATTCAAAATACAAGATGATCTGCATTGGTTTGAGCAGGGCTCGTTGGTCATATGTGATAATTACATTAGATAATACCCGATTAGTTATTTAGTTTTTGAAGTTCAATTTTTAATTAAGGATTTTCATGATTGATTATCACACTCTCTCTCTCACACACACACACACACACACACACACACACACACACACACACACACACACACACACACACACACACACACACACACACACACACACACAGTCAAATCAGCACCAATATATTCTGTCAGAGATTATCCGATGACGCGGTCTTGGCTTTTTTGTACCAAAGAAAAATTCTGGGCCTTAATTCTTAAGAGTGTCTTCCAATAATTTAGTCATTTCTAATTCTGTGGGTGAGAACAATGCCAAGAGCATCTCTTTTCATTGCTCATCTCTGAAATACATACATTGATAATAAAAAAAGCACACATTTCTAAAATAATTGACTTGTCACTGCTTCTGCATGTTATCTTCTATTATCCTCAATTGTAAGTGATACTTTTCAGTGATAAATAAAAAATATATTTGCAGTCATAATTATATCTCTTCTAAGTTATATGTAATTTAGTTTAATAATTCAATTGTAGCACCAATCCTGTTTTGTTTACATTTCTTTATGTTTCATGCACCTAAAATCAACACTTTCCAAGTGTAAGGCAAGTAAAAATGGATTAGTGTGTCTTGGCAGTTGGTTTTTAACTTGGTTAATACAATACTCAGTAATCTGATTTTAATATGATTAAGACTCTGATTAAGAGTCGACCATGTAAACAGCGATTCATTTAATCTGATTAAGGTCATAATTAAACTAAACAGAAATTGAATTAAGAAGTATTATTATGGAGTATAATTATTAAAGTGCAGTACAGACATGTAAACACCTTAATCAAACTGTAGGCGTCATGTAGGACTTTTTGCTGTGTTTTGCGACAGGATAGTCTATACACACATGACACTATAGTATGACACTATACTTTGCACTCACTGAGTGAGTGATTGACCACAGACACCTGCATCACGAAATGCCAAGGTTTTTTCCCCGTACTGTGTGTGGTATCAAATTCCATTAAAACAACACTCTTCCAGCAGTTCATACTCGCACCCAATATCTTCTTTGTCATGGAGGGCATGTATGAAATGTTTCTAAATGAAAGTGAAAGTGCCAAACTACAGTTAAAGTCGATAAATCAAAAATGAAACTCTGGAGGAAGTGTGGATAGCGTGGTGACCCAATGACGTTAATCAAATTATAACATGTAAAGAGGGTTAAAAAAAGTAACATTTAAAAGCAACTCGTGTAAAACCCTAATCATATTATTGTCTTTTTCAGATTAAGGCAAATCATTTGATTATGTCCATGTAAACAAAGTCAGTGTTTTAGGTCTCTTGTAGCAGCTCAATTCATAATAAAGGAGACAAACAAACTATGGGCGATATCATTTGTAATATACAGGTAAATTTGGGGTGCAAAAATACAGACATCTCACAGTTAGGTTTCAGTTTCAGGTCAAGGTTTCGGCATGGTTTAGTATATTAATAGTTTTCTTTAAACATGAATATTTTTTTGTCTTTTAGTGGATATGTATAAATTATTATCAATGTCATTATCCAATAAATGACAGAAAATATTGCGATATAGTTTTGAGTCCATATCACTCATTCCTAAATCAAGCTACATTTCTGCAAGTATTGTAGGCTTAAGTTGCTTACAATGTGAAAATGCAACATGGGCCAAAATTCCTCCGAAGCTTATGAAAGTGGTTTGTAAACAAAAGGTGATGTCATTTAGCGTTTTAAAGTAAATATTAGTTCACACTTTATTTTGATAGTCCCTTATCTTGAATTTAAGTTACATTGCATCTACATGTCAACTGATTCTCATTAGATTATAAGTAGACTGTTAGGTTGGGGTTAGGGTTAATGTAAGTTGTCATGCACTTGCAAAGTTTCTTATAGTCAGTTAAATGTCTGTTGAAGGAGCAGTATTAACATATTGAGCAGTTTACTAATACTCAAATGTATCATCAAAATAAAGTGCTACCAAATATAATTTTGTTGTTGTAATTTTACCGTTAAATTAATAATAACAATTGCCATAATAATAATTGTAAAAAATATTTAAAATATAATAATACTACTAATAATTTCTATTTTCTCTAACTTTAAAACCTATTTTATTTTTATAAAATAATAAACAGTTTTATGGCCGTTTAATACAGGTTGTTGGCTAAATGTCTTAAATCACTGGCCATTTGCCAGGTGTGACAACATAATAAATAAAATAGACAAAAAAGTTGCCTTGTGAAAACCTTTCTACTCTAAATCTCTGAAGACACCGTTACAGAGAAAAGTGACAAACCTCATTTCATTGGTGGAATGATTCTTTATTTGTTTTGGTAATTTGTACAATTTTAGTAAACCTCTCTTTCTAAGTGAAACATTTAAAACGGCAGCTCATTGTTAGGGATCTGTTAGTTATATCAATGCAGCGTACAAAAGGCCCTGAAATATTTCCACAAAAGATGGCGGAAAACGCCTCCTGTCAGCTAAAACGACCCATTAAAGAAGTACAAGCAGGAGAAACGCATTTCCCAAATTGAATGTGCAATTTACAGTCAGCTCTAACGCTGTTGACCCCTCACACACTAATGTTTGCCTCCAGCCATGGGCCGTCCCTCCGGATGTTTTATCACTCCTATTGTCGAGCTATCTATTTAATTGAAAGAAGTTAATTGAATGAAAATGATCAACTAAGCTTGTATTAATATTGCTAATGGAACTTTCTTCTTGGCCGTGTTTGGAGAAGGATGTCACTGCAGGAGTTTTGGAGAGACCCATTAAGGCCTGCACTTAACCCGATGGGCTAATTAACCAATGCTTATTCATTCCACTTAGACAGGAAGAGCCTTCAGACCCCCTGCCCCACAAACCCACCAGCAACAGAGTTTTGCACTTGCTGTTAATACAGACTCTGGTAGCATTGCTCAGAGATTGATCTGCAATTTCTAGAAATGACCAGCGAGACATTTGTTTGACACTGTAATCTAAGAAAAAGGTGTTAAGAAGAAGTGTAGATAAGTGAATTTAGATGAAGTCGACTGATGTTAGAGATGAGTTACTCATCGTTTAAACAAAAATTAGACACATTTGGTCATTTGTGGTATTCTGGATTTTTTTAAGACTACATCTGTGTATTAAAGTCCTCAAGCTAACAAATTGCGTACAAGTTGTGCCAGCTGGTCAATGAAAGGATAAATTCATCAGCCTCTATTGGATTATTACATGGGCTATGAAACGACCTATTAAAGAAATTGTACACATTAAAAGCATTATGTGGAGAAAATATTTGTTTCTCCTTTCAGGTTTTTTAAAGCGTTAGCTCACCTACAAATAAACCATAAAATTCAGTTTTTATTTATTACACTTGTGGTTTCCCAATGCCATCTGTGCTTCTTTTATTGACCATTGATAGAGAAACACAATAAAAGCTTGTCCAGCATTCCTCCAGCATTTAAGGTTTTAAAAAAGATGCAAAAGTATCGAAGAATGGTTTAATTTTACATGTTGTGTATTTGTTATAAAAAAAACACTGAAGTCTAATGTGTTATTTAAAGAAAACACTGCTTTTGAGTGTTGACTGCACGTTTAAACCACAAATCACTCTGACTTGTCCAGAAAAAGCATACAAGTATAAAAGTTTTGATAGATCAATATTCATAAAACAATGAAACCAGTGCTTAACTCGACCATAATTCTACAGTCTCTACATCACTTGCTGTAGTTGATGAAAGATGAAAGTTTAAGTCCAGTCAAGTCGAGCTTTATTGTAATTCTGCTACATGTGTGGACATACAGAGGAGCGAAATGTTGTGTTACGCAGGACAACGGTGCTACATAAATTACTCATAAATACAAACACACCAAATAAGAGCTATTTAAAAAAGAAACCCATGCATAACTAACATATAACTAACTTTACAAATAAGAACTTTTACGTGAGACTGAACAATGTTGTGCAGGATTATGTGCAAGAGAGGCATTAAAGGTGAATATTGTGCAAAAGAGGTATTAAAGGTTTAATATTGTGCAAGAGTTATTAAAGGTTGAAGCAAACAGTGCAACACTATTGGAAGACATTTGAAGTAGACATCATTTTCATTATTGAGTCATTGTAAGATGGAGTTTAGATAAAATGTCAGGTGCATAAGAAAGAGTGTTTCTACAGGTGCTTTGTAAACCCCACTGAACTGTATGAAGCAAGATTTGAAATGCACTTTGTTTCCAATAGTCATGGAGTGATTAAAAAAGTGTCTATAGAGCAAATGTGTAACCTGCTGCAAGAGTCAGAGATATGAGAGGTTTGAGAGGTCAGAGAGATGAGAGGTTTTTGACAGATTTGTTTTGTAGTGTCAATAGCCTCATGAACACACTCAAATTTAGGATTTTTGGTGAAAAATAATTTAAATACATTATTTTTTATAACCAAACCCAAAGTTAAAATGTATGAAATTTTACATGGAAACATTATATTTTTTAATATATTTTTTTAATGATTCTGGATTCTGTCATAATATGGATGAATGTGAAAAGGTGAATGTGAATTTTTTTTTAAATAAACATATGACAGTGGAACCACATTGGAGTTTTTAATTGCTTTCTTGATTAGTTAGATCTTATGCTTATCATACATTAAAACCCCACTCTTCAAATGATGAACATTAATTAAATATGTTTCTTAAAAGGTGATTACCAACCTTGTGAAAATGCTGAAAGCCCGAGATATCCGAAGACCATTCTGTCCATCGGGTCATTGGCTTTCTGATGAGGTCAACATCAGGGCAGACAAGGTAAAACTATTAAAAAAATTATTAACAAAGAAATTTGTGATGGGAAAAGAAATGAGTGCAAATCTTTACAAAATAGAAAAATACACCTTAAAGGGATAGTTCATCACAAAAATAACTCTACCTCTACATAGGAATTTTCTTTCTTCTGTTAAACACAAATGAAGATATTTTAAAGAATGTTGGAAACTGGTAGCCTCTGACATTCATCATATTTTGTTTTCCTAATATGAATGTCAGTGGCTACAAGTTGCCAACATTCTTTAAAATATATTTTGTGTTCAACAGAAAAAAACGAACACTCATGATGGTTTAAAAAGCACTTTAAATGTGAGTAAATTGAAATTTTGGCACCATTGCTTCAAGTAGAAAAATACAAGATGTGTTGAATTGATAATAGCTTGCAGTGATCTAACTTGTTTAATATATTAATGTTTGTGTGTAGGTGACTCAGCTCTATGTGCCGTCTGCGAGGCATATGTGGAGAACCAGGCGAATGGGACGAATCGGACCACTTCAGTCCACATTAGATGGTAAGGCTTGAATTGAAGTATACATATTGAAGTGCTGTGAAACACATGCTAAAAAGGAAAGCATAATATGGCTTCCGTCAAGCAATTTAATTTCAATGAAAGGGCTGTGGGTGTTAACGCAAACTAATACCAGCATGCCTGATCTTTTCCATGCCACCCTTGAGCATATGTGCTTAAAAATTCAATTAGCTTAAGACTGGACACATCTGGTTGCCTGTTTGTCCGGACCTTTTTCATTTTCCTAAATGGACTTGCGAGGTAGTGACGAATGGCTCCTGTATTGACCATGCTGTGCCATATTTCTCCACCAAGATGGCCTCTTGATGGCTGGTTTGTGGAGAGAGAGAACACTGACTGATCGCTCCACCATTCAAGCAACCTAGTAGATGAATGACACTTCTCATCTGCTGCTATGGCAGTTTTTTTCCCCCGTGGTCGAAACGTTTGTAGGACGGAGTTTTAATACAAAACAAACGTCCCAGTAATGGAGGGAGAGGACAGGTGGATGGGCAAATCGCTGCTGAGTTAATTAAAAGTGTGTGGCAGGGAAGACAGAGGGCGATTGAGCGATCTTTAATGGGATGCTCTGTAAATACCGCATTCAGCAAGGCTGGAAGTGGAGCTCACTCAAGGTTGTGTGAGTGTACAGAAGCAAATGAAGTGGGTCTTTAGCAACAGACGTCCAGACCATCATCATTGTCTTGTGCAGGTTAATTATCCCTTTAGCAATGAACTGCCACATTGTTTGATTTTGTGATGAAAGAAACATATGTGTAATATATATTCTACTGTTTAAGATCTTTTTTTAAAATGGATTTTAAGCTTGCCAATGCTCAATTTGTTTAATAGAAAATATAGTAAAATAGCATGTTGTGAATTATTGTCACTGTTAAAAATGGTGCTCAAGATTTTCTTTGTTGTTGTTAGAAATGTTGACTACAATGTTTTTTAAAAATATTTTCATATTTCTGTGATAATATTTTTTCAGGGATTTGTTCTATATTGAATAGTTTGAATGATAAAAAATGGGATGTCTATTATTATATAAAGTATTTTCTGTCATTTTTTTTATCAATTTAATGTGTTCCTGAAATAAAATACTGTTCTTGAATATTTGAACTGTAGTATAATCTAGTATAATCTACAGTAAATTTAGTAAAATTTGTAAAATTGTCTGGATATTCAATATAGAATTGCTTGACACTGTTGTAGCTTTTGTCCATGTAAATTTACAAGTGGATTAATAAGTTATAGGTGGAATCTGTACACGCAGAAAGCCGCAGATTTCTGCACATTTTTAGCCCAACATTGAGTCTATTTACTTGTGTAAATGTGTGTACATTTATAATTAGTCAGTTTTTAAATTGATTTCAGTAATAATACTGACTATTATGAAAATGTTCTTTTGATTTATTTACAATACAGTTTGTAAAGTAAAGTTTTCTGTCTTTTAGTAGATGAACTAAATGAGACACTTGCTTTGTTTACCAAATAAGTGGATCTGGATTTGCCTTGTAGAAATTAAATAAAAGTTTAAAAGGTATTATTTTTATTTCATATATTAAGTTTTTAGTTACGATACTCCCAAAATAATTCTGCATAAATCCGCAGAATTTTTCAAAAATTCTCTGCAGAAATAGCAAAAAATTATTCTGTCTGGCCCTAGTCATCGGTATGTCATCTGATTTTTATTTTAGTCCATCTTTGAATATTGTTATATACTTGATGTAAATATGTGAAAATATATATTTATTCATTCATTTCATTTTCAGCTTAGTCCCTTTATTAATAAGGGGTCGCCACAGTGGAATGAACCACCAACTTATCCAGTATATGTTTTACGCAGCAGATGCCCTTTCAGCCACAACCCAGTACTGGGAATAAATATATATTTATTCAGTTCTATTATTATTATTATTATTATTATTATTATTATTATTATTATTATTATTATTATTATTATTATTATTATCATTATTATTATTATTATTATTATTATTATTTATATAATTTCAGTGACATTAGTAAATGCATTATTCTTTTATAGTATAATCATTAGTCTTCTGTCCTTCAGTAGATATTTTACATAGAGACTAACCTAGATTTGCATTGTAAATCTTAAATAAAGGTTTAAAAGTTTTTAAATTATTTTTTAAGTTTTAAGTTTCTGTACTTCCAAAGTCATTCTACATAAATATGCAGGTTTTTTACAACATTCTGCACCGATATGGCAGAAAATGTCAGCAGATTTTTCTGGCCCTGGTCATCAGATGGATTTCTCATTATATTTCTAGATGTTTTTTAAATTTTTGCTTTTTTTATACCCTTTAAATAACCATATACTAGAGACGACCAGAAGGTATAAGGACACATGAGAAACAAATATGGAAAATAACAATATGTTTTTATCTTACATGACCTGTGTACCAGAGCCAAGATTTGAACATTAGTAAATATTCATTTGTCTTTTTGAGTAAAAAGAAATGTTTTCTCATCATAATTTTTTTTGCAAAAGAAGTATTCATTCAGAGATGATGTGTAATCTTTTTTCCCCCACAGTTGGACTGGAGCCTCCACCATTGTCAGTATCAGAGGAGAGACATTTGGCAATTCTCACTGAGCTACCGTTTGTTGTGCCCTTTGAGGAGAGAGTGAAGGTATGATACTTAGCACCAGTCAACTGATTCAGCGATATGTCGTTTGAGAAGGTTCAACATTATTTAATGTGTTTTTAAAACCATTTTATTTTATTATGCCTTAGATTTTAAACATCCCATTTAAAGGCACAATAATTAAGTTTTTTCATTAAAATATCCAAAAAGGACTAGAATGGTGTTATATATATTTTTTGTCTTGATGTACTTATATTATTTCAAATGAATGTTTGAATATTCAAATCAAGAGAAATAAGCAACGTTTACTAGAGACACTATGTGTCTTGTGTGTTCATGCTAATGATGTCCTGTTTGGTTTTATAGAAAACTAAAACACCAAATACGCTTCAATATGTTGTGCATTTTATTACACTGCACAGAGGAGCATTATAATAGTGTGGTTAAAATATTTTTAGGATGATAAAACATCACAGCTTCTTCAACACGTGATTACAACCAGAAGAGCCAGAAGTGGTAGACTGTGGCATAATAAAAGCTCTGCTGCTTTTGTGTCGTGTCACACTTGTCTGTCATCAGCGATTGCTTTGGCTGTCTTGTTTCACATGAACCACGTCAGCTTTACCCTGCTTCATACTACCATGATAATAAATCTTAAATATTTTAGCATTTCTGCAGGAGTCCAGTATGATGTAATGAAGACAACTCCCATGATTTCACACTCAGTCACTTCATCCTCAATCTACATCTTTGTTTTTTCTAAATACAGTTAAAGTCAGAATTATTAGCCCCCTGAATTATTAGAACGCATGTTTATTATTTTCCCTAATTTCTGTTTAAAGGAGAGCAGATTTTTTCAGCACATTTCTAAACATAATAATTTTTATAAGTCATCTCTAATAACTGATTTATTTTATCTTTGCCATGTTGACTGTAAGTAATATTTAACTAGATCGTTTTCAAGACACTTCTATACAGCTTAAAGTGACATTTAAAGTCTTAACTAGGTTAATTAGGTTAACTAGGCAGGTTAGGGTAATTAGGCAAGTTATTGTATAACAGTGGTTTGTTCAGTAGACAGTCAAGAAAAAATACATCTTAAAGGGGCTAATAATTTTGTCCCTAAAATGGTGTTTAGAAAATTAAAAACTGCTTTTATTCTAGCCAAAATAAAACAAATAAGACAATAAAAAAAAAAATAATCCTTGCTTTGTTAAACATTATTTGGAAAATATTTTAAAAAGAAAAAAAATATTAAAAGGGGGCTAATAATTCTGACTTCAACTGTATGTATTGTTTAGGGGTGAAAATGGCATATTGTGCATTTAACATTAACATGAAGTGATATGTGTCTACTGTCATTCTGTGTTTAGATTTTTCAGAAGTTGATCTATGCTGATAAGCGAGAGGTTCAAGGCGAGGGCCCTTTTTTGGATGGGGTTAACGTCACCATACGACGGAATTACATCTATGAAGATGCATATGACAAATTATCCCCTGAGAATGGTAAACAACACAGACCTGTTCCTTTAAATATAAAAAAGCTTATTGTATACAAAAAATGACAAACAATAGCATACGTAATGTAGTTTTCACTGTCACTGAGAACAGACATTATGCTATAATAACCAAAGTGTGTGAGGTGGAGGCAGTTTCACTAGAGAAAAGTCTATAGTTAGCAGTTCCAGACATTTATCGAGCATGTGTTTTTCTGATATTAGCTTAAAGGGATAGTTCACTCAAAAATCTAAATTCTGCCATTATTTACTAACCTTTTACTTGTTCAAAACCTATAACTCTGAAAACATTAAATAAAAAAATTCACCGCCCAAAAGAATTGCCATTATCCCTTCAATAAAGCACAACACATTTACCTGACACTGTACATCTGACTGACCCTGCTCTGCCTGTTCCTCAATCATTTCTTTCTCCTTTGCTTTGATTGATATTGTGACATTAGTATATTTTTTTATAATATACTAATTTATTTATACTGTAGCACATTTTATATAGTACACAATGGCAATTCAAAGTGCTTTACATATAGAATGCAAAACTATCATAAAAATAATCACAACAATAAAAACAAAGAATTAAAAAAGGTTAACATTTTAATTTCAAATTAATTGAGTCACTTAAAACAAAATAGAAACTTATTATACAAAAAAATACAGTGGGGTTAGTGTTCTCGGTGTAGCAGTGCTCCTTTGGCAAATACACAGCTAAACAATATGCTAATTGTGGTCGTTAATGTTAAGTTAACATTATGCCAAGTCGTCACAAATGAAACAATGCATGGGAAACGACTTTAGCGTTAGCAACAAGCTCAACTCAACTGTTTCTAAGTGCATTTTAAATGATAAATGCGGTTTTCTTTCTACTTAGACAATTATTTTAGCTATATATACATAAAATTTTTCACAATTGAGAGTTTTTATTTTTAATAATTTATTGTTTTTTGGGGGGGACAACCCTCGGATGGGAGGGGACAAGTCCCCCCCACCCTGGGATTTACGCCCGTGAGTGAACCATCTTTATGTTATACTTCAAAAGTTCAATGTAAAAGATTAGCAGAATTTCTTTACTGCACTTTGATGAACATTCAACTGGAAAACATAATGGAAAATGAAAAATATTTTGTGTTCTGTTCACAGTTCTAATGCAAGTTTGGCAGCTGTTTGTTAGGGGAATGGATTAATTTGAATAAGTAACTGAAATAATTTTTAAATAATTTTTGCTTTTATCCATTTCAGAGCCTGATCTAAAGAAGCGGATCAGGGTTCATCTTCTCAATGCTCACGGGCTTGATGAAGCTGGCATTGACGGAGGAGGAATATTTAGAGAGTTTCTGAATGAGCTGTTGAAGTCAGGCTTTAATCCTAACCAAGGCTTCTTCAAGACCACCAATGAAGGTCTTCTTTACCCGAGTCCCACTGCAGAGATGCTTGTGGGAGAATCCTTCACCCGCCATTACTACTTTCTTGGCAGGATACTGGGAAAGGTAAGACTGAATTCACAAAAAACTCATGATATATTGCATTTCTCTGAAACATTCCTTTTCTTTTCATTGACACAGAGACCAAAGCTGTAATAATTTGATAACTTCTCATACATTTGTCTTTCACTCGCATAAACTCTCAGACACAAACAAGGTCTTTGGATCGATGCTGAAGGTCGAAGGTCAGGTTCAATCAGTGGTCTCTGGCTGAGTAGCATTATGGATTATGTGCATTTGATTTATGAGGACACAGGAGTTTAAAGTCAAGTTTATTTGTGGCCTTTTGATCCAAATAATTTTTCCTTTGTGTAGATTTATTTTTGTAAGATCATTGTGAAAACCTCTGTGAAAGTGATGCAAAGGTTGCACTCTATTTAAATGAAATAGTATATAACATGACTCGGCTTATGTATTAGGAAAACAATGATAAATTTAGATGTAAAATTATAATTGGTATATTTTTGGCTTTGTATATATTTAGTATGGATTCTGTACATACAGTAGCAATATATAGTTTTTGATAAAGGGATAGTTCACCCCAAAATTGAAAGACTGTCAACGTTAACTAATTTACTTCAATTCTTCAATTATACAAAATAAATCATTGCCCTTCATAAACAGGGCTCGGCAGTAAGGACTGTCTGATGGCCCAGGGCCAGCATGCTAGATGCTCTGGACAGTGGACAGGATCGTTACTAGCGTGATCGGGCCAGTGCTGCCTTGTCACTAAAGTTAAATTTGGCTGCGAATGTTTGTCAGTTCCATGCAAATAGGGTGCTTTCACACCTAGACATTTGTTACGGAACCGGTCTCATTTGCCAAGTTAGCGCGGTTCGTTTGGCATATGTGAATTCCGCAATCGTGCTCAGATCCACGCCAAAACAATCAGTCCGAGATTGCCTGAAAGAGGTGGTCTCAGCTCAATTGAAACGAACTCTGGAGCGGATCGATTGTAGTGAGAAAGCAAAACAATCCAACAAACTAACAAACTAGGCTTTATCACAGTGTATTATGGTTGTGTAGGCTAAAAGTCATATTCATAGCTATATGAAGAGAGAGATACGAGTAGGGCAGGATGTCATTCCTACCAGTAAATGTGCGTTTTATGGTGAAAACGTAAGTGAAAGCATGTGTGAAGCAGTTTATTTTCACTCCAATTTAGTTTTCCTTTAAAGTGGGTAGGACTATAGAAATGTAGTTATAGATGCTCACTGCAGTGACATTTTTATAAACCTGAGATCTTGCTCTATTCTGCTCCTAAACTATCAATGAGAAGAATGTCTATATTTCCTCTACTGACTATGATAGAGTCATTTTGTCGTCATTTGCATCATTGATTCTTTGGTGACTTTATTATGTTTTATGGATTTATTCCAATCTAGTGGGTCTGGTGTCTTTTGTTGGATGGTTAATGATGCCGGAAGGGACGATTCCCACTGGCCAATTGTTGATCTACAGTGTTTCAACACCTCAATTTGATATTGTTATGGCTTGCTTTGAAACTTAAACCAAGATGATACTAAAAATGTAGCAGAGACTTTGTACTGTACACTGGAAACTCCCCAAAATGTGCGCACCTAGCTGTACCATGCAGTGGAAAAGCACCATACATTATGATCCCTGCTTGACATTGCAAATCCTGTGATATGACTATTGTGAATGTGCACATTGCCATGTTGGTAAGGAAACGATATTTTGAGATTTTGTGATAGAAATTGCATATTAATGTCTTCCTAATAAATGGAAACTGATTCACAATGGTGGAATTTTGATAACTCTTCTGATTATCCAAATTTTGCCTGTTGTTTTCCTATATTGGCTGCACCTTCAGCTACTTTTTTTATTGACGCAGTAGTATTGGCCATCTCTTTTGTGTGTCTACGAGCCGGTATTTATTAGCCGCTAATGTTTTTAAAGTTTCATTAATGCGTAGGCCCAGGATTGTTTATCGCGAAGCACATTGACTGGGGGGAAGGGTAGATGAATTACCTCATGACAAGAAGCTCGCTGCTCAATTAGGCTACTCCATTAGCCCATGATTCCCCATCTCTGTTTGTGTAGCCATCGCATTTGGCCATGGACGCTAAATCAGCTAGCACCATAAATAACCGGCTCCGTGCCGCTGGTAATAGAGTTTTGATCTGTTTTACAGTCACGGGCATCAACACCACTTGTGAAGAGGCAATTCAGGCCACTTATTAGAGGGCTATAATGAACACACACACACATACACACACATACCTTGTAGGATGGAAGGGACATAACTGAGCGTGTGCCCTGAGGAATGACTGGCCCCACCCTGCTACTTTCCTGATCTTAATCCATTCAATTGCCCCCACTCTTTAGTAATGGGCAGAGCAATTAAGGTGACGAGATTAATTTGAATTTGACTTTCAATTAACCCTCCTTCTCTCTCCATAAATATGTGAAAGAGTGGCAGGCTGAGTGGGATATTGATATTTGTTTAGTGCTGTTATAAAGGCGACTCGTACGCATTATAATGGCGTCACTGTTACCGGGTCAACCAAATGCACAAAAAAAAACTAGATTTCACTTTCTGTGAGATGATGTAAATCTTATGGTTTTATTCCAATTCTGCTGATTTGTTTTAAAAGTAATGTTGTCTAGCAGTTCAATGGTGTTTTACGTTGTGTGCTATAGTTTTCAGTTGAAAACATGTTTATAAATTGAAGCAGAAAATCTTGGTTAAGAGGGATAGTTCATCCAAAAAAGAAAATTCTGCCAATATTAACTCTCACTTCACTTGTTGCAAAGCTGTAGTTTTATATTTTTTATTGTTAAGCACAAAAGAAGACGTACTGAAAAATGTTTTTTGTTCCTACCATGTATGCCAATGGCTGCTGTTTTCCGTCATTCTTTAGAATATCTTGTTTTGTATTCAACAGAAGAAATTCATTATTTTAAGTTTAGAACCCCTTGAATGTGAGTAAATGGTGAGGAAATGTTAATATTGGGTGAAATATGCAAAAAAAAAGATAATTGCCTTATTTTCCAGATACTTTTACTTGAGATGCAAGTTTGTTGCGTTTATTCTTAAAACCAGAACAAATGGTATAAATTTAGCTTTTTCAGTAATGATTTGACATCTGCACTGGAAAATGTTTTATATATTCTACTAGTTTTTCAAAAGGCTTTTCTGCAACTTTAATTTGTTCATTCATTCTTTGACTGAGAAAGTAAAAAGACTAAAATGTATAGCGATCTGTTTGACATTTATATTTTGAGCACATATTGACACATTTTATTGAGTTTTAATAAATAAATGTTTTATACTTGGTGCCCTATCATACACCCGGCGCAATAGGGCGCAAGACGTGTTTGGTGTGATTTCTTGCTATTTTCAGACCAGTGCAACGGTAATTTTCCTGTTTTGCTTTGGGGGGCTTTTTTTCAGTTTATTCATGACAATTTGCATTTGTATAATGTTGTTATTATTATTAGCAGTGGTATTCATTATATGCATATTTATATTTGTTTTAATGAAAACAAGTTTAGATTTGTCCACCTGTCGGGTTTTGGAGATGTATGCAATGCATCACCATATGAGGCATAAGAATAGGACTTGTGTTTGGATATAACTCAAGTTTTTTTGACCACATTTTGTTATTATTGTTCATTAATTTGTTTACTGGAAATTAGAACAGAATTTTAGAAATATTTTTTAAACAAATCTTTGCACTTAAAAAACTAAATTAAGTGTGTAGACTAATGTATGTCTTTAGTGGAGTGAGTTTCCACTATTTCCTTATCCACAAAAGTAAAGAGTAAAAGTAAAGAGGTTAAATGGTGAAGGCTAGTTCTTTTATGCAGATGGTCTGTTTAACTGTTTTCTCACTAGTGAAAAGTTTTCCCACTTACAAAGTCCACCATGTAAATAGCAAATGCACCATGCAACTGACTCTTAAAGGGAATGTGAGATGAGACTCTAATTGGTTTAATGCACATTATGCTCAAAACACACCCATAACACATTAAGAGAATAAGCACAACCCTGTTAGACCATGCACAGGGGCGCAAATTGGATTTTTCAGTCCTTAAAACAGCAAAAGTGGATTCAGACATGCCCTTAATGCTTTTGCGCCATGCACTTCAGACTTTGCTCCTAAATCATTATAACAGAGCTCTTAAATATAATATATTTTTTGGAAAATAAATTTACAGATTTTTTTTATGGACCTGCTAACCAATCAATTGCACATAACTGAAGCCATAATCCTAGCCTTGGCTTGACGCTCTTGGTTCAAGTCATAGTTTCTCTTATTCATGTAAAAAAAGGAAGTTATGGCCATCTATTGAAAGCCACATCCTTGTGTAGAAATACACTGCTGAATTATTTTACAGAAGCACTCCGTCAGTCTACACTACCCCTTAAATACAGACTGAGTCACACACACACGAATAGCACGTGTTCTGCAGAGCTTAACTGTCCCTTTTCAAAGGGCAACCAGGAGGAAAGAGAAGGTCAGAACTCCTGATTGATGGCAAGTGTGTTAAATTTTTTATTGATTCTTAATGCTGTAAATTTACAAATTTATTTGGCAGAAACAGAAGGCAGCTGCTAAGTTGTTGGCGTTTACTCTCCTGATGGTGCCACGATTTGCATTAATTGCGTTGCCACTGCACTCACTTATATTAAAAGGCCCGGCCATTCATTAATCCTTTTTATCCCAAGTCATTTTGGCACAATTTCTGGCAATAAACACCCATAAATAACTTGAAGGTTTGAAAAATAGTCTCCATATCATTATTGCGACTTCTTTCTCAGGAGCGACGTTATTGATAGGTTTCAGGACGGCGTGGCACATATGTTGCCTCAACAGGACTCGTGGGAAGAATGTTGCTAAGTGGATTATTTTGCATAAAAAATGTCCCATGTTTGAAGTCGCACGATTAACCTGTGTTTAGAAAATGCTCTGATTTATGGTCTGCGTGTGTGTTTTAGATGCATGCATTATGGAGATTTGGGAAATTTATAATCCATTTAGCTTATGTGGTCAAAGCATTTTAGTGCAATCGTTTATTCAAGGCCTGTATAGTTTAATGCCCTCAGATATGCTGTTTTCAGGACAGTTGTGGTACTTGAGCTTTTATGACTCATCATCCTTGTACTTTTTAATAGAACGACAGGTTAAGGATGTTTTTTTATTTTTAAAGTTTGTGCTTGTTTAGTATAACAAGTGTTGGTGATTGTGAGAGATTTGGGACACTAATACCTTGATTATTTTATCAAATGGAGGTCATATTTAATCTCTCTCTTTTTTCTTTCTTCTGTTTCTCAGGCGCTGTATGAAAACATGCTAGTGGAATTGCCCTTTGCCAGTTTCTTCCTGTCCAAGCTTTTAGGCACCAGTGCAGACGTGGACATCCACCATCTGGCCTCTCTAGATCCAGAGATGTACAGAAACCTGCTTTTCCTTAAGAGCTATGAAGGTGACGTGGAAGACCTCGGCCTAAACTTTACAGTGGTTAACAATGATCTCGGGGAGGCCCAGGTGAACAACACCTCTTAATTCTCCACTCTTTTTTTTTTTTTGCTAGTCTTTTGTGTTTCCTTTCTCTATTTCTTGTTCTCCTACATTGTTAATGATTGATGGAATTGTTGTTAGTCTTTACTGATAGAGATAAAGCACGTCTCTGTCTGGATCTCTCTGAAAGAACTTCTCGGTGGACCAGCTCAATCATATCTGCTGGGAGAAAACTGTCTAGCATAGTATTAGAGCTAATCATCCTGTATAATTTCTGTTATTAAAAAAAATCTTTTAATAAATGCTCAATGAAAGGAGGTGCTTAGAAAATGATCATTTTCAACATTGAGAGGTCAAACATTTGCTCATCATTTACTCTCTTAAGTGGTGACAAGCTTTTATGAGTTTCTTTTTTTTGTAGAAAACAAATTAAGACATTTTGAAGAATGTACGAAACCAATATCCACTGACATATAAAGTGGGAAAAATAACTATGAAAATAGAGTTCTGTGGCTACCAGTTTCCAGAATTCTTCTAAATGATTTTTAACTGAAAAATAGAAACTCAGGTTTGGAACAAGTGGAGACTGAGAATGATAAAATGATGACCAAATTAGTTTTACTGAAACATCTTCAAAATGTACTGTTATGATTAGCTAGCACTGATTAGCCCAGGGGTTCCTAAACTTTTCAGCCTGCGACCTCTGAAATAACACTGCCAGTGACTCGCGACCCCCAAAGATTGCGTACACAACAATAGGCCCCATATAAACATGAGCATGTTGACAACACAAAAAAATGCAACAGACTAACATCCATATCATTTTTATAGTCATTTATTAATTTGTTTAAATTAATATTATCCTCAACTAAAGAAACTGGTGGGCATAATGTCTAGCATAAGTCTATTCTTGGTTTAATTTTGGAAACCCCCACTCAGAGATCATCCTAAATGTTCTGTAGTGACTGTATTCATTTTTAATGTAATTAATTGCTATAAAGGTATCAGAAAGGTAACCTGGTGCTATAAAATCAATCTGTTGCATCTGACGCTATTGCCGTGGTGTTAATCTAACGTAAACGCACTGATCCTTAAAAAAATTATTTAAAGACTGATGGCTTTTCATTTACATGTTGTTTTCTTACTATTTAAAAATGACTATTTTTATCTTCTGTGGGTTATGGATAAAATATTGTAATTCTAATAGTTTAATCAAATTTATTTAACTTTTGGAAATCATTAAGTGACCTCCTGTCCTTGTCTTGCAACCCCCCAGACCCCCTCTTTGGGAACCACTGGATTAGCCTAATATTGCATGACAGAAGTCTGCTACTAGTGTTTAGCAAATGAAGAACTTTTGGGAAAACGTAGACAAATAAGGAACAAAATGTGAATTTATTTATTTATTTATTTTTTTCTCCATAAGCACACTTTAAAGATATATCACTCTCTTGGGGGCAGCATGCATGTTATAAAAATGTCTGTAACATTGTTTTAAGATAAAATGGCAAAAATGTCTCTTTAATTAAAAATGTGCAATAATTCTGCAGTAACAGTAAAAGCAGACTGCTATTTACTTTCCGCTTCATTAATGCAGTAAACGGTGGCCATGTGCACTCATTTCCTCTGTGTTCCTCAATTGCCTTCGACACTTTCCTCTGCAGATGCCCTGTTCCACTCAGTCACTGAGCGCAGGGAGACGGTCCCTGTCACACACTCATCTATTTTTGTCTTTTCCAGGTGGTCGAGCTCAAACCAGGGGGAAAGGACATCCCGGTAACCACAGCCAACAGGATAGCCTACATCCATTTAGTGGCCGATTACCGTCTGAACAAACAGATCAGAGCACATTGCCTGGCCTTTCGACAGGGTCTGGCCAACGTGGTCAACCTGGAGTGGCTGCGAATGTTTGATCAGCAGGAAATCCAGGTGAAACTGTCAGCAAAAGTGTCTGAACACAAAACAGTCAGAGTGGATTCATAATTATAACAATGACTTCAGCAGATATTATCTGTTTGTAAGTTTTAATCATAAAATAAATGAAGGATTTTTGTCTATTTCCAGGTATTGGTTTCTGGTGCACATGTGCCCATCTGTTTGGAAGACCTGAAGAGATTTACTAACTACTCGGGTACAAGTCCAAGATTTTGTTACTATGGGGGAGCTGGAAAGATGATGGTGATGGTTAGATGGGAGATGCTTATCATTGGAAAACCTATAATGCGATCTTGGCCACGTGAAACATGTCTTAGCTAATCAAATGACTGCTTCCCCTTTCCTTTGTATTGCCATAAAGGCAGCATTAGCTGTTATGCTTTTTAGGATAATGATTTCAGACTTGCCTTTAATAGGCTTTGCTACAAGTACACAGTCACATTTTATGTTTGTCACTTGGTTTTTATTTTAGATTTTGCTTGATTTATGAGCTTTTTTTTTTTCAGTGATGCCAGGTTGCGATTTACATTTTGTTGTGTTTTCTGTATTTAATTAGCAAGAGAGTTGTTAATTTGTAATAAAGCTTATTGATGCTTAACATAAAACTGTTTATTTGGTTTGTATAGATTTTGTTTGGTAGCACTTTTAAAGGCTGGAAGGACACTATACAATTTCTCAGATTTGTGCCCCAATTGAAGAAGCTAGTTTTTGAAACTCAATCATTCTCAAGACTTTGCTTATTTTAATTAACTAATTCTTTCATCCAATTTGTGCAGTTTATTATAGACATAGTAGTTTTTTTTTATTAAAGCATTTCATATTTTGCTCTAATATTAAAGCATAAATGACTATCATTTGAATGGTAAAAATGCTAAAGTAAAAATCTTTTACCTGGTTAACAGTACATTTTCTTAATATATACTGTGAATAACCATATATTAAATTTGGCAGAATTCCCTTTATAATGCTCCACTTTTTTTATCTTCTTCTTATACCATATTACTATGGTTCTTTTTTTTTTTTTTACTCATCAGTGATGCTCAATAGTTTTAAGAGTTTTAAAGAGTTTTAAGTGTAGATGTTAGTATTTCAAAACATTGGTGTTTTAACACTTTATAAATAAATGGTTTAATATATAAATACATGAATGTACCATTGTTTCAGAGTTTTTTTACAGTTACTATTTAACAGTAAATATTAAAATGGACTACATTATAATTTTTTTTTTTTTTACAGATTTTGACAGAAAAAAAAACAATTTTACAGATTTTTTTTCTTTTTCTTTACAATATGTCAATTTTTTTTATCATGTTTAGCAGTAGCAGCACATAGCTGAAATGCTGTATCCTCTGATCATTGAGAAGTGTTAGTTATGCTAGACTAAAGAGTTCTATTTCTAACTTTGTTTTCCTCGTTTGTTACTCTGCCTAGGTGGTTATTCGGCAACTCATCCAGTCATCAAAATCTTCTGGGATGTAGTGGAGAGCTTCAGCGATGAGGAGAAACGCAAGCTGCTCAAGTTTGTCACAAGCTGCTCACGACCTCCGCTCTTGGGCTTTAAGGTTAGTGACTTTGGCAAAAACCATGTCATAACACGCGACAATATTCCAGAGAAAAGCAATTTGGCGGTCTGCACTAAATGCAATGCGACACAACAGAAGCATTTAAATACCAGCCATTTATTTATATATCAGCCAATGCACTGCCAACGAAATGGTAAGTGTTTTAATCTAATTAATACATAATTAACCTATTTGACATTATTAAATGTACATGGGCTGAGTGACTAATGTGGTTTGCAGTCACAGTTCTGACTTTCCTTTTCAAACCATTTGCTAGTTGTGTTATTTTTATGATCTGAAGTGAACTATTTGCTGCTGCTTTCAGTAGTTTGGCAGTAAATGTCACATAATGGTACTCAAATTGGTAGCATTTAACACTGAATAAAGCACATAATCTGTATCTGAGGTGAGAATTTAAGTAGTTTATCCTGTTGTTTTGTTGTGGAAATATAAGTTTCTAAAATAGAAATTTAGTGTATCACTGTTGCAGATGGTTAGGACAAAAAACACATTTAAACTTTAAAAAGATAACTTGAAAACGCATGTTGCGAGCTGCGTTGCTTGTAGTTAGGACATGGTGTAACCCTAAATCATAGGTCTCAAACTCAATTCCTGGAGGGCCGCAGCTCTGCACAGTTTTCCTAACAAAAACAGCTGATCCAAATAATTGAGGTGTTCAAAAGAGTCATGAACATCTTCATTAGTTGGATCAGTTGTGTTTGATTACGGTTGGAGCAAAACTGTGCAGAGCTGCGGCCCTCCAGGAATTGAGTTTGAGACCTACAGTATGTCCTAAATGAACCTACTGAAAATATAAAAGCGTAAATGTGATTTTAATTAACATCGGGTTTGGTTGTATTATGTCTGGACTGTAATGAGCTAATGTTTTATCTGAGATTGTAAAAGACCTCAAATGGCTCGACTAGAAAAGTGAAATGTACAGACACGACCCAACCCTCGTTTGAGCCACATCAGTATGACTCACAATTCTATTACCACATATGGAGTTCAGTTCAAGTTCATGCCAACTCACACCTGCTGATGATTTGGTCCCATTTTTTTTTGCATTTTTATTCAATAAAGTTATCAGCATCCCCACCACAAAGACGTCTGCTCCCTGTAAGGTGTGCTGGCCTAACTGGGAAATAATGAAGTGAACAAAATATGTTTTGTCGCAGAATGTCGTCATTAATTTGCACAAGGGTGTGTGAGCAAACAAGCTCATTGTAACAAATCATTTTCACATTATAACAGCTATCAGCACAGGCCTTATCTTGGCCTCTGTTTGTGCTGGAGAGGTTGTGACCCCCAGCATTGAAATGTTATTTGGGGCTTTGCCAAGTGCCACTGGCTGTGTGAAATCTATCTGACTGGTAAATTAAGAAAAAAGGTGTAAAGACCCTGTTAAAATTCAAATGTATTTCTCTCGATACTGACTTGTATGTACGTTTTGGGATGAGAGAGTTACGTTTGACAGTACAGTAAATGAAATCGAGCTTTCAAATGGTTCTGGACCCATCTCTGGGGCATTTATATTTTTACTATAATATTACTATATTATTTATATTATTACTAAAATATTTTTTACTTGTTTGATTCATTTTGGCTGGAATAAAAACAGTTTTTAAGTTCTTAAACCCTTTTAATGTCAACATTATTAGCCCCCCTAAGCAATATTTCTTTTTTAATTGTCTACAGAATGAACCACTGTAATACAGTGACTTGTCTAATTACCCTAACTTGACTATTTAACCCAGGTAAGTCTTTAAATTGCACTTTAAGCTGAATACTAGTATCTTGAAAAAAATCTAGTCAAATATTATGTACTGTCATCATGGCAAAAATACAATAAATTATTTATTAAAACTACTATGATTAGAAATGTGTTGAAAGAAAATCCTTCGCTCCATTAAACAGAAATTCGAAAAAATATCAAATAATTAAAATTTACCAGCTTATAATTCTGACTTCAACTGTATATGTCAGTGTGCAGTATGCCAGTTGTGCTTATTGAAAAATCGAACATAAGATGTGTTTTTCTGCCTTTCTTAAACTAACCAAGTACAGTAATAGTCATTTCATTGACTTTATTAGATATTTTAATAGCCGTCATCAGTTAAAGCGGATTACTTTAGCCTGTATGAATTTGGGTGGGGGGAAATCGTGGCATCGGAGCAATTCCACAGATATGTGTTACTGCCAAAATTAAAGTGGGTCCGTTTAATGAATTTGACTTTGGTGCAGACGCTCTGAGGAAGGGATGGAAAAGAGGAGTAAGAGGAAAAAGACGAAGAGAGACGGATCAAGGGGAGATGGCCTTCCACCTCGTCTGCCTCTTCAGCCAGCTCAGCCTTAATTAGGTGCCGTTAAACACCCTAGAATTCATTAGGGGAGAAATAGCCCTGTCACGGCGAGCTATTTAAAAAAGATGATGGATACCCTTTTTTCAAAATGATGGCTCCCATCGTGACACTTTCTCGATAAGCAACGATACTTTAATACCTTAATTGTTAGAAAAATTGGCCCGTTAAAGCAGGTTTAATCAGGTTCATTTTGGGGTTGAGCCTTGCAGCCGTGGGGAGAGTTTTTTCATTAGGCCCATCTCGTTGCGTTATCTGTATTATCAGTGTTTTGCAACATCATTTGGAAGTCAGTAGATAATATTTTAAAAATGCACAGATTCATTCTTACTTAAATTGCTTAATATGTCATAAATGGGAAATGTTCCCTGTATCATCACATTCAATTAGGAATTACATAAATCATGTAAATGATGTAATATTTCCAACAAAATGGCCCTATTTAAGAAATCAAAAGTAATAATGTCCATCACTGGATATTACTGTTGGATGTTTGCATGAGGAAATATTAGTCAAATAATAAAGGTTTTACTACTTAGAAGCTACCTTGCTCTCTTGTACCATTAAACCTGATAAACCTCTCTGGAATTCAGCCTCTCTCTCTGTGAATAATAAGTGCCACCTACTCAAATTTGATTGGCCATCTCTAACTTTTAACTTTCATCCATTTAGTCAGTTATAGGGCAGGACTTGTCCTCAGTGTCTATGATAGTTAACACCCTGGTATAAAGCACTTTATAAACCATTTCAATGTGAGGATGTCATTGGTCCATGAACATTTCCTGCTTGTTGTCTAACTATTTCATATCTTTAACTTGATGTTATAACAGATATTGTTGCATTATTTATCAAAATGTGGAACTTTTTGGACTCTCAGGCACTATGAAAATTTAGAATGTAAAACAGGAGACACGTCAGGACCATTGTTATTGCTTACATCCCTTTAAATTGTTAGAGGTTAGATGTTATTGTTTACATCCCTTCGAGTTTTTATGATCTAATACTTTCTATATTTAATGCGAGGAAGGATTTGTATTCTTTGTATCCGTACTAATTATTATAAATCCCGTGTTTTGATTCACATATAGTAAAAAGAAGTCAAACATCTATTTGCATTTTTTGGAGCTGAATACTAAAACTAAATCCAGCACAGCACTCCCACTCTAGCATTAAATTCTCTTAGCACAAACAAGTTACATTGTATTACTAGGACTTCTTGTTTGTATTGCCTCTTCTTGTTAAATCACTAAATATCTTCTTAATTGTAATTGCTTTAGACAAAAGCTAAATCAGGGGTTCCCAAACTATTCACAAATAATAATGGCAGTGTGACCACCAATATCCTCTGAGGTGGTAATAAATATAGCAACAGTGCACACTCACCAATAGGCCCATGTCTATTCTTCGTTTACGTTTATTTTTTTTTTAAACTTATGTGAGTGCTGTAAATGTGCCAGAACATTTAACCTGCTGCCATAAAATCAGTCTGCTGCATCTGACACTATCCGCTTGTTATGACATATGGAATACTGTTTCCGGGGGGGTATTCCAGAAAGCTGGGTTAACTTACCATCTGCTAAAACCTAAACTCTCGGTTGATTTACCCAAAACCTGCTTACCGCGAGTATGTTGGTTCCAAAACAGGTGACAAGAGTTAGTTAAATCAACCTTCTGAAGATAACAGCGGGTTAATGCGCGTGCACGGCACACACCTGAAGGCATTTTCAGTAGATCGCCGAATTCACGAGTCACCATAGAAAGTCACGGTGAGAAAAAAAGGGCAACGCACTTTACAGAGCTGGAGGTTTTAAAAACAGAGATTACACATCTGCTTCAACGAAGGAAAGAAATATAGAATAAGAAATAGATAAGAAAATAAAAAATAAATAATAAGAAATTTTAGGCCTATTAGTTCATTAAATTACACATGCCACCCTCCATTTTATTGCAATGATAAATTAAACTACTCTTTAACATCCTTTTTGAGTATGTTGTGTAACCATTCATGCATTTATTTTTCTTGCCATTAATTTCTTAAAGCCACAATATGTGTATTGACTTATAAGGCTTATAGAAATTGTAATCTTTCTGGAGCTAGAACTCTGTCCAAAGTCATTAAACACAGAAACATTATCATAAAAGGTAATATTTAATTACTGGAGCTCTTTATTTAACACTCTAGAATATTCTTTCTGACATGCAGCTAATAGAAAGAGGCCTGTCTAACTGCTGTGTCCTATAATAAAGGCTTTTCAGTGGTTGAGTTTTTGACTTAAACCACACACTGTCACTGTTGTAAGTGATTGTTGTCAGATAGCTTTAGGTTCTTTTTATTTTGCATGCAGACGAAGTTCCTTCTGCCTCAACTAACAAGCAGTGTAAGAATTTTCTGCACTTTTCCATATTTGAATATTACTCTTGGATCACAAAATCTTTTATCTACATATTTAAATTCTAAAGTAGCTGTATAAGGTCCATCTTCAAAGATAAAGTCACATGAGCATCAACTTAAGGTGAGAAATGTAAATGAAAAATATGTTACACGTTGAAAGGTGTGTGTATAAAGCAGTGTACAAAATCATTCATTTTATTTCAGCAAATGAAGAAATGAACAGACCAAACTATTTGATTAAACATAGTTTTTTGACTAATTATATTTTTTTAGCACTCTTCCATCTGTTTTGTCTGCTTGGGTCACTGAGATTTCCTCTGAGTCAGGCTGCAGGTAGGGTGTCATCGTATAAGGCAGAAAAGGGTATCTTTTGTCCTCCAGCAAGTAACAATGTAGTGCCCAGTAATGATTCTATTTTATAATACAAATATAATAAAAATAAACATTGTGTTAAGCAACATTTGCTTTATAGTTTTTTTTTATTACTATATTTGTGTTATACACTTGAATCATTATTTCCTGAAAATCAGCCATTTAGCCTCAACATAGTGATGAGGTGGGGTGTGTGATGAGCTGGTAAGTGGAAGCAGTAATGAGTTTAATAGTTGAAACATCAAAAGATTAAGGATAGAAAATTAAGTTGTACCTGCACACTTATACTTTGGACAAATTTTATATTATCAGTGTCCTTTAGTGACTGATGGAGCTTTAAAATCGGCTGCAATTAATGCACACAATAGCATTTAGAAACCCTGAAAAAAATATTATATTAAAAAATGTAGGTGTGTGTGCGTGAATGTATATATAAGAACGACGTCCTACATCTTAAATTAAAGATATATTTTCCTACAAAAGACAAAGCTGCCACTTATAATATTATACAGAAAAATGTGAGGGTGCAGAAGAAGAGAAAAAACACAAGATCTGTAAGTGAGATTCGAACTCGCTCCGTTGTGCGCTCCATTGTACTGTATCAGCGCACTGTCCACTACGCTATTCCCGGGCTCTGAATCATCTGTGTAATGATACGCAGTAATGTATGACCAAGGAACTGTACAAAAGTGTAAAAAACAGTTCAGTGCCAGGCGTACTGTACAGGTGGTCATACTGCCACATGTACAGTTGCCTAAAATGCCCTGACGCGAATACAAAGAGCTGCACTGAATGTTTTTTATGGTAAGTGCAGACCCGCGCTTTGTCACATTTGATTTCAAAAAGGTTTGTTAAATACATTAACATTATGAATTTGGTTATGAAAAAAACTATGCACTTATAACCCTCTCAACAACAAAAAAACTTGTATCTGTGTGTCCACATCCATAAATATTCTCATCAAAAGAGCACGCAATGCTCAGTAAACTCTCTGAAACAGACAAACTCTGAAACATAGCAACTTACTCTCTGAACATAACCTGCTCCGGAGCAGGTTATCTTCAGAGAGTAAGTTGCTATGGCTACTTAACATACCCAGAAGTTACCTCCGATTTTGGAACCAAAGTTGAGGTTATCCACCTACTTACTCTCAAACTTACCCGTGTATGTCACATAACCTGCTTTCTGGAACAGCCCCCGGGTCCAACCCGCTAGTCATTTGAATTAATAAAATATACATCTATGACTACCTTTTAGTCATATGACACATTCAAGTGAAAGATATTATTCAATATTCAAATATTATTTACTTTCATCATGGCAAAGATAAAATAAATCAGTGATTAGAAATAACTTATTAAAACTATTATGATTAGAAATGTTGAAAAAATCTGCTCTCTATTGAAGAGAAAAATAAATAAATAAATAAATAAACAGGGAGGCTAATAATTCAGGGGGCTAATAAATCTGACTTCAACTGTGTGTGTGTGTGTGTGTGTGTGTGTGTGTGTGTGTGTGTGTGTGTGTTCACACATACAGTTGAAGTCAGAAATATTAGCCATCCTGTTTATTTTTTTTCCCGTTTAATAGAGAGCAGATTTTTTCACCACATTTATAAATATAATAGTTTTAATAACTCATTTCTAATAACTGAATTATTTTATCTTTGCCATGATGACAGTTAATCATATTTTACTGGATATTTTTCAAGACACTTCTATACAGCTTAAAGTGACATTTAAAGGTTTACTATGTTAATTAGGTTAACTGTGTGTGTTTGTGTGCGTGTGCGTGTGCGTGTGTGTGTGTGTGTGTGTGTGTGTGTGTGTGTGTGTGTGTGTGTGTGTGTGTGTGTGTGTGTGTGTGTGTTCACACATACAGTTGAAGTCAGAAATATTAGCCATCCTGTTTATTTTTTTTCGTGACTAAATTGAAGCTGGCTTAACTGAAAAATGCACAGCGCAGCATTGATCTATGCTTGTATTCATTTAGTCGCTAGAACATCTGTTTGGCTTATAGGAGTAATGTATGAGTCGCATGACATTATTCAGGCTGTGTGTTTGGATTTGCAAAAAGAAGTATAATTTTTTCCTTCTTCATTTTCTCAATTTAATCGATACTATTGATGCTCATGAGAATTTCCACTGTCTCTATTTGTAGGAGCTGTACCCAGCCTTTTGCATTCACAACGGAGGCACTGACCTGGAGCGCCTCCCCACCGCTAGCACTTGCATGAACCTTTTGAAGCTGCCAGAGTTCTGCGACCCTCAGCTAATGAGGAACAAGCTGCTCTACGCTATCGAATCGTCCGCTGGCTTCGAGCTCAGCTGAGGGAAAACCACAATTCCTTGATGGCCTTGAAACTCAGACAAGAAGCTGCGGCCTTCAGTCATAGTGACCAGCGAGGAAATAAACAGCTAGTCCATCCGCTGTGGATCTACAGTGATTCGCAGAAGTTGTGGCATGAACAAATGCGCTCCGTTTTATTTTTTACTTCAAATAGACTAAACATGTAAATAACACATTTATAAATTCCAAGCAGCATCCAAGAAAAGCACTAACACTGAAGCGGAACATCTGAATGTTGAAGATACTGAGGGAATAAAATGGCTACGGAAAATCGACATGCAGATTTACCTTTAGTTTTTGCATTGCTAACATCAAAGGCAATCTTTTAAGACGATGCCATTTTAAGGTTGCGACTGCTCCTTGTCACCATATAGTGCAGCACATATTGAGTGTCTATCAATAAAGATGCATGCATTAACCTCGCTGACTCGAGCTCAAACATAAGCTTCTACGATGTAACAGCATGGCGAAAATACAAACATTAGCTTCATACAAACGCTCATGCCTTGACACGGGGCCTGCTAATAAAATTCTGAGCTATTAATTTTCCTGGCTAAAAAGATGACTTTATAGCTAATGTGCCCAACAAAGAAGTTTAATCGAGTCATGGTGGGATGTGTGAGGTTAACGGGTGGTAGGACAGAAAATGGCGTGCAGTCGTCTTGTTTTTAATCATGTAGAAATGATGAGTTTTACTGACAGAATGGAGCTGCAGCACACAGTTTGATATTTCAGTGCAACAAACAGGCCCGATTGGAAGAATTCAGGCCTTAAGATCCATTGCGTTTAACCAAAATAAATTTTCAACACATTTTGATCTTGGCATTACAGCAATGGATGATGATGCTGATGTTTGTGCAATAAAATTAAACCAGAGATTTTGAGGACATGCAGGTTGTTTTTAGGCTAGTGGTTCAAGGAGGTTTTTTTTTGATGAATGAAGTATAAATATGACTTTGAAGCCTTTATCTGGACACTAATCCAACGTCTGCTGTAGCACAGAACAATTCAGATAAACACACTCTGTAAAAAAGGTCTGTAAATTAGCATTTTTCTGTATTTTGCCATTCATGTTTGTTCTTTCAAGTTTATTTAGGCTTTTGAATTGCATTCGGAGATTTTGATCTTTCCTCTAACAACTTCTGATGTTAAAAAGTTTGATAAAGTGACTTTTAACTCTGACATTTTTAGTAGTTTGAACTGATGCTGAGTGTGTAAATTACAGTTCAAAAACCTGGTAATAATGTACCAGAGCCACAGATTTATTTCTGCATATTTTATTTCTTATTCAACGAATTGTTTCATTTCGTTAAACCGCACAGTTGAATTTTCCACATCAGAAGTCATCAAAGCAGAGATCATTATGCAAAACGCAAATAAATGGAAAAGCTGTCAATCACAAAATACAGAAAGCGTTAATTAACAAATCATTTGAGCAGTGCAAGACTCGAGCGTTTACTTTCAACATCCTGCGATTGCTTCATTTGATTTGCTGCTACTTGCCGGGTTCTGAAAGGACATGTTGGTTGTTTGATTGGCAGAGAGCTGAAGATGATGTATTTGTGAATATGTACATGTCTACATCTTTTAACGTCCGCACAGCATTTGTACAAGACTTTTCATTTGTCTGCTGTCAGTAGTCACCTGTTCCTCAACACCCAACGTCATACAGGTGCTGAATATCTGATTGTAGATGTGTAGAGTTTGTCTTGATGTTGGTGATGAGAACGACAAGTGATTGCATTTGTGTGTGTAAAAAAAAAAAAAAAGTGTGCGTTTACTAAAGTGTACATGCCCTGAATGACAAAGACGGCTCTTCAATCTGTGTATCAGAGGGTATGGCAGTTATTAAATATGTTTTGGGGTTTTATTTGCACCGGAGAGGTTTCTGAATCTTTTGTTGAAACTGAGTAAAAACTCTGATGCGCTTTATGGCCTTTGACATATAATTAAAGAAACATCCAGTGATGGAACAAGAAAGGAGGCTTATGGAGAGCACCGATGCATTATCCGGACAACATAAATTAGGGCTCGGAGTGTTTGACATAAATCTAATAGGGCTCTGCAATGGGAACTTTTTTTTTTCCCTTTCTCTCCTTGGCTCATCTCCATGTATTCTCCATATACGCCGCACTGTAATAAGTCTCTGGACTCCTCCTCCCTCTATGACCAAATCTCCAGCATTTTAGCAGCAATCTCAGGCGGGGGTAATTGGGTCTTAAAAAACCAACTTGTCCTATAGCGATGAAGGATTGGTCTTAATTATGGGGAGATTTATTTGGGCCTATTACCTTATAATGGATTATTGCTCGCAAACTTAATGCCTCTGGCCATCCATCACATCCACGTGCGAAGATATAGCAAAGGTATTTTATATAGCTTTTAGAAATGTTATTATTGCACTTAGGGTCAAGTCATTTCACGCCGGAATATGAAAGCGGAGAGATTTCATTTCAGAGAATTCATTAAGAACAATTAATGGGTTTTATAAACCCTTTGCGGTTAAGCGGATCTGATTGCTTTTTTTTTTTTTTTTTTTTTTAACAGTAAGTGAAAAGATTCTAATGTAGATCGTCATCAATCTTGGTTAAGCATTTCCTATTTCAATTTTATGAATTAAATATGTTTATTTAAAGATACAAGATGGTTTAATTTGTCAGTTTGCGGCACCCAAAACTGGATTTTCTTTGAATATTTGCAGCTAAAATTACCACTTTTCTCTTGACTTATCGTTTATAATAATAATGAATAATTTATGCTTGGTAAAACAAATGGTTGTCTGCAAACTCCTGACATGTTTTTATTTTAAATCTTGAAAAAAATGTAATTTAAAGCATAAAATTGTGATCGGTCAAATTAAAAAATTATATAAGAATTAATCAGAAAATGGGGATCTGCTATGGTCAATGTCATGTCTATGAATTAAGAACTTTTTTACAGAACAAACTGTGGTCAATGACTTGCTTAGTCAAGCTAATTAACTTTTAAATTGCACTTTAAGCTGAATAGTATCTTTTAAATAACTAGTAAAATACTATGTATGGTCCTCAGGGCAAAGACAAAAGAAATTAGTTATTAAAGGCCTTTGAAAATGTTATATTTTTAAAATATTTCCGTTAAACAGCACTTGGGAAATATTTGACAGAGTTACAGGAGAGCTAATCCTTTTGTATGTAAGAAGAGAGGAAATGTCTTGTTTTTGTTTGTCTTTTTAACACTTTACATTTTTACCAATTGTCATATTGCACGATAAAACAAGCAAATGACAGCACAATTACAGTTAACTTAAAAGCATAGGTCACCTAAAGATAGAACTTCTGTTAACAGTTGCTGATCCCCAACAACTTGCATAGCCTAGTACATTTTCCAAAATATACAAGTGGGGAGCAGCAACAATGTGCTTTCCCACATTCATCATAAATTTTAGCATAAGAAATATGCTAAATAATTAATAAATTTCATAATTGCCTAATAATCTGTCAATACATAATACTTATTATTATAATAATGATGTAATACAATTTCTGTGATTTATAAACATTTTGTCTTCCTACTGTTTTTTGCTCACGTGTAAATTAAATAATCGATTAATTACCGCATATAGACAAATTCTTCAATTCGTTTACTACATTAGAGGGCCAATGGCGCCTCCTTGTGGAGGTTCATTTCCACAACAGGAAAAGAGCCATATTTTAATAAATGCAGCATTTATATACCATGAATGGCCTCTGATTTGAGATAAAAGTCTAACTGAATAGGAAAGAAGACACATATTCGTATTATTATTTTATTACTATTAAGACTATACACATAACTTTGTGCAGTGGTGTAAAGTTGTAATATGTTGTTGTCTTAATATGAAATCTTGGTTATATAACACGGAATTCATGACTAACAATGGTTAAACACTAGTAAAGTGATAGATTTTTAGAATAATAAGATAATATTACCTTGGTAATGTCACATGTTTGTTGTCTAAAGCTTTAATAAAATAAATAAATTAATAAACATTACTAACAGAAGGTCATTTTCACCCTCTGCTGGCCAATACTTGCAAATGCAGCACACGCTTTCAAGATACTAGTTCAAGTATATACAGTACAACAAAGGCAAAGCTGTATCATAAACACCTGTTTTACTTAACACTGTTGTTATGGTTCTCAAAACTCACAACATTTTTAATATTTATTTATTTATAATTGTCTACAGTCTGTGGCGTATCACTCATGTTATTTGTACATTGTAGTTTATAGAAGTTTCTAAATGTAAAATATATAGTTGATACACCAGCATTTACAGAATGCATCTTTACAACTCGAACATTGGGTAACTTTTTTCCTTTAAACAGGATAGTCCAGTCAAAAATAGAAAACCTGTCCTCATTTACTCAAGCTCGTTTCTATAGTTCTACACTGGTGTCAATTCCTTTCTAGAACACAAAAGAAGATATTTGTGAAGAATGCTGGTAGTTTTTGTTTTCATTGACACCCACTAAATGGCAACTGAAACTTAAATACCAAATACTGTTTAAAGGTTGTTTTTTTTTTTGACAATTTGAAAAAAACATACATCTATAAATGCATACATTATTTAGCTTACTAAAGAGGGTTGTAAATACAGGGTATTGAGTGAATAATGAAAAAGCCTTTCCAAGTGGTTTGGAATGTAGCCACTCTCATAAATAATCGCTCTTATCTTAAGCTTCCAGTCCAGGATCCAGCCTTCACACACAGCAGGAAGGACAAGGCAACATTTGAATTCAAATCTATGCATCACATCCTGTCTACTGAAACACATTCACACAGTAACACTCTGAAGGACACATTAACATATCCATCTATGCCTATAAACTAAAACATGTATCTAAACCGTTACATATACTTTGGAAATATGCTAAAAACATAGCACAAAACATTAATTTGTTTTATACAAAAAACAATAATTTTATTACTGATAATTTTACACACTCTTTTTTTTTTAAATAGATACAAAGGTGAACATGATCTGTCAAAACGCTCCGTGAGCTTGAGGGTTATAAAAAAAGAAAATTAAAACCTGCATTAATTTTCAACATAATAGAAAATTTATAAGTAAACAAAATCATGATTTAAATGGACAAATATATGATAAACTGATTAAAAAAGGTCCACATACATCAACTAAGTGTGGTGTATTCATTTGCATTTACATTTTATTATTTAACTTTGTCCAAAGTTTTTTTAAATTTTGTTTTATTATAACAAAATGAAACATTTACATTACGTTATATCACATTACATGCCAGGGATTAAAACAGAAAAGTATCTTTTAACAAATTCAGTTTTTACAGCTTTCTTGTTAGTACATTCAGAAATCAAAGATATATAAAGATTTAGATCTTCAAGAAAAATCTGAAAGAAAGGTTTACGCTTACAAAATTTACACTTGTGTATAAAATATTTGGCCAAAAATATAATGAGATTAAATAAATAAAAAGCATCTGGATGTTCAATTTGATGGTTGTATAATAGAATAACAGTTTCATAGTTTTTTTTGTCCAAAGTGTTACCAGAAAGAAATGAAAAGATGACACATCATTACTATTATTATTATGATGCTTTTCAGAAGTCTGGACTCCTTACTTTATTTTATTAATGTATCTTTAAGCAATCTTTAGTTTTGGTGTGCCATAATTGATTTTCTAAATGATTTTTTTATTATTATTATTGACATTTTCTTTTAGATTAGCATTAATAAAATGTTGGTTTTGATAAAAGTTGGTTTTCTTTTATATGTTTGTTATTAATAGTTTGAAATGTTGATTAAAAATTGCAATAAAAATTAAGTAGAGCACTGGATACTGCAAAAAATAATTAAATAAAATAGTGGAACCTGTTAAAGGCAATTTAATGGTTTAAAAATATAAAAAAGGCATCAAATCTTCAACCAAATAAAAAGGGGATGTTCCAGTGCAATCTAATCTTAACTGTGCTTCTTGAGGCTGAAGCACCATCATTCGCAAACCATTTGGAATACACCCAGACCAGAAGAATGGGACACCAAAGATTGCCATCAGAGGTCTTGGTTCAAAAACACATGGAGAATGTTGATAAAGTTATTCTAAAAATCTCCCAAATTTGGACAAGGAAAAAGGAGGTACTGTATGTTCAGCAGGTGCCAGCTAACACCTTAACATCCATATTTTGAAAAAAAAAAAAAAAAAAAAAGTACTGTAATTTAAAGTTTTAAATATGAAAATTCCTAAACTGAATCTGACTAGGCCTGAATCTTGAGCAGAGGAGGAATTATCTGTGACATCAGCTTCCCACCATCCCACATCCAAATTGTATATCCCACTGACGAGTAAGCTAAGAGAATAAAAAACATACAGAAAAAAAAAATAAATAAAGCAAAAACCTGGTTAATAATGCATTAAGCTTAAATAAAAAAACAAAACACAACATGAAAAGCAGTAAGCTGGTAGAAAAAAAAACATGCAAGTCAATGTTTCCATCTTCAGGTTTCCATCTTCAGAAGATCTTTTGTGATCAATGGAAGAAAGTCAAAAGGATTTGAAACAAGTGAAGAGTGAGTAAATGCGGACAGCAATTTCTGTTTTGAGAGAAATGTGCCTTAAATAGGGGAATAAAGCTCATTTGGATTTCTTAAAAATCTGATTGATTAAAACTGAAATATGGACTTACTCTAGCCTATATTGACACCTGTGAAAATTCTTCACTCTTCTCTCCACATCTCAGTGTGAAATATGTTTTCACTTCCTACTTCACCACTTCTCGGTCTCGAGAGTTTTATTTAGACTAACATCAGTTTCACAATATGTTCCTGAACTATAAAACCTACATATTTGTTTTTATCTTATGAAAAATGCAGGATGTTTTGTCCATTGCATCGTATGAAGCTAATTTTAAAATATATTACTTA